AGAGGGTCTGGCTGGCTCACCCACACTCTGAGAAAAGGCAAGACGGACATATAACCAGATTATGACCGGTGCCATTAGTATTGGAACTCTGCGCTGGCTGCTGAAGATGAGGATGGAGCACACATGGTAATGCCTCGAGTGCTATGATTTCAATTCTTGACTTAACTCAACTCAGCTGTTAGAGGTTAAGGTGTATGGTTATTGTTGCAGTGTGTGGTTATGGTTACAGTGTTATTGTTAGAGCCTTGGGAGTTGTGGTTATTGTTGCAGTGTATAAAATGGGTACAATGTGTGGGCATGGTTACAGTGCATGGTTACTGTTACAGTGTGGTGATATTGTTAGAGTGTAGTTTGAGACTTGAGATTAGTGGGTATTGTTAACAGTGCATTAGTATTGTTAGAGTGTTTACACAGTTACAGTATGTGTTTTTCATTTGTTTTGTTTTACATTGTTGTTATTATTAGAGATTTAAGATGCGTGGTTATTGTTACAGTGTGTGGTTATTGTTACAGGCTTGAGGTGCATGGTTATTGTTACAGCGTCCTTGCTAGAGCCCTCCTTGCTCAGCATGATCACTTAATAACTTCTCTCTTTTCAGACTCGACTTCCACCTGTTCAGGCAGTGCAACAATGACGCTGTGCAGCTGTGTCAGTTCACTGGCTTCAATGACCCTACAAACATGACTCCTGACCAGGGTTCACTGGTATTCTCCTGCCTGCATCGCCACTTGCGGTCAGATGATCCTAAAGTTGTTAAGGTAATATGTTTTTCTTCCATAGACACAGAGTGCATAGGGTTTCTTAGCAGAAGCCAATGGATGACCTTTATTGCAGCAAAGCCTGGTGTATGGTATCCCAACATCTAGTTTAAGAATGGAGGTGGAGGCAGTCGCTGCAGCCTTCCGCTGGCTTGAAAACCAGGTGCACGCACATGTCAGTATTGTAACTGACTCACAAAGCATGCTGAGAAAGGTGGAGACAAGTGAACTTTGTTCAGAGTGGCAAGCATTGCTTCAGAGTTCCTAGGGGTTGACATACTTTGGGTATTTTCTCCGAGAAATGCAGGTGTATTGGGAAACAAACATACAGACTGGCTGATTCGGCACCACTTGTTGGTAAATTGATGCATGACAAGGGAACATGGCACAAATAGATCACCATGGTCTCAAGAGAATGATGCAGTGGGAGTGACCAGGGAACTTGGCAGACATGGACATACAATAAAGCTGTTGGCCTCACCCTTCAGCCCCCAACCTGAAGGACCAGGGTGTTTGTCTCTTCTCTACCCTTTGACCTTTCTGGCTTGCAAGGGTCTGCCTGATTACAAATTTCTTACAGTCTTTGGGGCCATCAAAGAGGCAAACAGTGGGGAGTAGAGAGTGAGAAGCTACAACGAAATTCATAATATGTTTAAACCACCATTGATCACTGGCATTATGAGGGCTAATGGGATGACATGGCTGGGGCATATTGAGAGAATATCAGATTGCACAGAGATAAAAATCTGTATACACAATGGATCTGAATGGTCGTAGACCACAAGGCAGACCAAGAAAGATGTGGAAAGATGATATCCATGCAGACCTACAAACACTTGGTGTTACTAATTAGAAAGAGAAGGCCAGCCAGAGAGAAGAATGGAGGCGGGTGATATCTGCAGCAGTGAACCTCCAGTACTCAGAATACTGAAGAAGATGAAGAAGAAGAAGAAGTGAAAGAAGAAACAGAAGAAGAAGAAGAAGAATGAAAAGAAGAAGAAGCAGAAGAAGGAGAAGAGAAAGAAGAAACAGAAGAAGAAGAAGAAGAATAAAACGAAGAAGAAGCAGAAGAAGAAGAAGAAGCAGAAGAAGAAGAAAAGATGATGGTTTGGAGAGAGTGCTGCAGTAAAAGATGTTGGTCCTAGAAAAAGAGGTAGAGGATGACCATCTGGACCTGCAGCCTCCCCTTCCTTCGGCAGATTGAAAGCTTTCCTAATTTCTTCTGAAGGTGATATCTCATTGAAGATATCCAATACGCTAGTGGGTGCTAAATATCAGGGTCATCTTCCGCATGACACTTCATGAGACGGGATTGTTGGCAGGAAACAGATAGCTTTTTGGTATGATGTGATGCAGTGGACCTCGTTCATGATGATGAGTTACAGTACTTGCCTGCCGTGATGGTATTCCAGGTTTAGTTCCTAAAGAGGCAGGATTTTCCCACCATTGTAGCTCTGTTTGTTGTTAACTCTTGTTTCCCAAACGTTTGTTTTATGACAAATCCGTGGACCCATGAATGCAAAAAATTAATGCAAACAATTTAGTATTGTACCGTTTAGTATATTAAAAACACTGTTTAGTATTGTAACAGAGCTATTCGGTGTTGTAAGAGCGCTGTTTAGTGTTGTAAGAGAGCTGTTTATTGTTGTAAGAGAGCTGTTTAGTATTGTAAGAGAGCTGTTTATTATTGTAAGAGAGCTGTTTAGTATTGTAAGAGAGCTGTTTAGTATTGTAAGAGAGCTGTTTATTATTGTAAGAGAGCTGTTTAGTGTTGTAAGAGAGCTGTTTGGTATTGTAAGAGAGCTGTTTAATGTTGTAAGAGAGCTGTTTAGTGTTGTAAGAATGCTGTTTAGTGTTGTAAGAATGTTGTTTAGTGTTGTAAGAGAGCTGTTTAGTGTTGTAAGAGAGCTGTTTAGTATTGTAAGAGAGCTGTTTAGTATTGTAAGAGAGCTGTTTAGTATTGTAAGAGAGCTGTTTAGTATTGAAAGAGAGCTGTTTAGTATTGAAAGAGAACTGTTTAGTATTGTAAGAGAACTGTTTAGTGTTGTAAGAGAGCTGTTTAGTATTGTAAGAGAGCTGTTTAGTAGTGTAAGAGAGCTGTTTAGTGTTGTAAGAGAGCTGTTTAGTGTTGTAAGAGAGCTGTTTAGTATTGTAAGAGAGCTGTTTAGTATAGAAAGAGAGCTGTTTAGTATTGTAAGAGAGCTGTTTAGTATTGTAAGAGAGCTGTTTAGTATTGTAAGAGAGCTGTTTAGTATTGTGAGAAAGCTATTTAGTATTGTAAGTAAGCTGTTTAGGATTGTAAGAGAGCTGTTTAGTATTGTAAGAGAGCTGTTTGTTTAGTAGTGTGAGAGAACTGCCTATATTCCATTAGAACTATTTAGTATTTCAGGAGAACCGTTGTTTAGTTTTAACACTAACAGACCATTCTATACCATGCGATGTGTATCGTCCTGACAGCCGTCTCGACCGTGCATCCATGAGATCAAGAGAGTCATGCGGGAACGCTCCATGAGGATCAGCTTGATGCCAGAGGTGGAGAACGCCTGCTTGGAAGACCTCTCACAGCTGTGCTCAAACAATGATGAGCACACGGAGATCGGAGGTGTAAGTTTGTCATCTGATGTCTTTCATTGTCCAGACATTGTGTCTCCCTGGCGAAGTGGCCATATGTTTGCCTCATGCTCTTTTTCTTCCTTCTCTTCTTTTTATGATATACATATATATATATATATATATATATATATATATAGATTCTCACAGAAGAGCGAGGAGAGGTCAATGAAAACAGGAGCACCACAGTAACAGGCACAAGTAACAAGTAAACAACGACTATATATCTGGCACAGGTTACATGTTCTGTCGTAACTAGTAACACTGTCCCAGAACACTGCAGTATACACCACTCCAAGTATAATGTGATAGTGCAGTCAGTCTCCTCTATTGTGGATGAACAAATCGATGAACAGCTGTAAAGTCTACAACTGCCTGCCAAATACACTCACTAGTAGACTCTAGAACATGGACAAAAAACAAACAAACACAGTCTGTGTCCCTCAAGATGGCTACTACAGGCAACTCCTGCTCGTGCCACTTCACATCATCTTTCGTGATGGTAGTGACCACAGCCTGATGGCTCGATGTCCCATAAATCCTGAAGGTTTAAGGCAGATGCACCATACACCCTACCTGGTGTGGAAAATCCAGATTACAGTCTGGCCATGAACCAAAAATCTGCATACAAATAAGCCAAATGTTTGAAACTGATGTGCACCCATGCAAAGTACAGAAGATGAACAACCAGAACTTTCTACCCAAGTTTACAGACTTCAGAATGATAATTTATTCAATAATACATGTTGCAAATTAATTAAACTGTAGTTCAATTTGTGAATAAATTTACTCAATAACAGTTATTACCACCGACCACGCTAGCCTCACAAAAATGGGAATTTTCATTTCAGCTGTATGGCCTTTTATCTCGAGCTGGCCGTGGCTAAGAGTAGTTAGGGTGATCCTGCAATACATGTTCAAGGGCTTTGTCTATCTACTCCACATTCACATGGTGGCAGATTCTTTTGTGTTCATTTTGTGTAGGTATATTCCAAGACTGAGCTCAGGGGTTGCCCAAAGCCTAAAATGTCAGGGGTCAAGAGGGGGTCAGCACGGTCAGAGCACGTTTTTATGAAGGTAATTCAACTTGCACTGACTGAAGTGCTTGTTTGTTTCTGACATCCTGAGCTTGATAAGTACCAAGAGCTTTGTGTGTTGTGATAAAGTTCATCGCTGACATACTCGAAGCACATTAACACTATAATCACGACCATGACGACAACACGAACAAACTGTATCAAAACATGGTCACAATCCACACGAGAACGTCTGATGTAGATACAACATATTGAGGTCTGTTACTTTTAACTTTATTGTTCTATCATTTCTACATCGTTCTAAATAATTCAACATATTATCTAACTCTTTCTAACTAAGTAAAACCACTGTTTATGTAACATGGCCACACTACAGTTGTCCAGAGCGTCCGCTAGGACATCCGGTCGACCACTGTCCCTGGCTGGTTCACAACCCGAGCTCACTTCCCTTACTTCAGGTAGTTCTCCTGGCCTCTGTGGCCTGTATGCACACCACGACAGTCACACATTTAGCACTTTTCTTGAAGTCACACATTCATCCGATCTGCACCACGATCATGACACTTGCTCTGCTTTTACTTACAATCTTCCCAGGAAATGGAATGCCTGCAGAAAAATCTGGATCAGTTGACGGAGAAGTGCAAGGCCGTGGTGAGTAACTTCACCCAGGAGGAGGCTGAGGATATTCAGATGGATAGGATTCTCATGAGGGCCTGCACTCCCATGATCAAGAAGTTTTGTGGGGTGAGTTACTGGCCCTTGACAAAGATTTATAAATAAGGATGATTAATAGTTTAGATGTATATTTTAAGGATTGTGTCTCTGTGAGTTTACGATGTGTTTCAAAGTGTGTGGTAGCATTCTTTAGTAAATGTGTGGGGGGGGGGGGGGGGGGAGGGGTGTAGGGGGAGGTGTGTTTGCCACCGGAGGTGAAGGAGGAGAAAGAAGAAGGAGAAGAAGAAAAACAAGGAGGTGCTTTCCCAATATCTCCCCCCAGGATGACATCACAGGACAGTCCAATATTTTTGAGGGTGTTAAGAGCGGGTTTCCCGGCTTTCTGATGCTTTTAACAATCCCAAAACATCTAGAGCTGGGCCTAACCCCAACCCACCTACGTCCCACGAGAGAGTGCAGCCTGTCCCAGGTCTGCATAGCCTAGGTCCACGACTGCATGCAGCCTACCTACCACCCCTAAAATATTCGACTGTGTGGGGATATATATTGAGATAAAATAAGAAGAGGAGGTGGGAGAATCAGAAGAGGAGGGGGAAGAAAAAGAAAGAGGAGGAGGTTGAAAGTGGTTGAAGAAGAAAAAGAAGTAGCCAAGGCAGAAGATGGAAGACGAAAAAAAAAAGTAGCAGAGGTGGAAGAAAACAAAGATTAGGACTCGGATATGGAAAAAGACAAAGAGGAAGTGGTAGATGGAAGAAGAAAAATAAGCAGAGAATGTAAGAAGAAGAAGTGAAGGTGGAAGACGGAAAAAGAAGAAAAGGACGTGGACTAGGAATAAGAGGTGGTGGAAAAAAAAAGATAAAGAAGAAGAAGAAGGGGGGGGGGGGGTGTAAGAATAATAATAACAATAAGAAAAAAAAAGAATAGATGGAAGAAGAAGAAGAAGAAAAAGAAGAAGAAGATTTAGAGGTAGAGGTGGAGGCAGCAGCGGGCAATTATTTTATGTCAGATTATTGTTTTCATTTTTTTTTTGCCATTAACGTTTAATTTAATATCAATTTTGTGTTGCCAGGAGCTATTGGACAGTGATGCCATTCCAAATGAAGTTTTAGATTGCCTCATTGAGCATAAGAACCGAAATGACATGGATGAAAAGTGTGCAGCCGGCATCGAACATCACCAGATTGTGAGTCTTGTTGTTTAATCACTTAAAATAGTAAATGAAATTTTTTAAAAATAAAATGAAAGTTAAATATAATGATGCATTATATGTTGATGATGATGACTTGCGTATCCTTTACAGGGCGTTGCAGAACCAACCCCAACATTTTTTGGCTGTTGTGGTTTTTCCAGGCAAATTTATGTCCAGTAGTTTGCCATTGCTTTCTGGGCGGTCGGCTTCTCGATACCACTGTCGAAACCAATGCAAGGCGCAGGGCCCGCAGCTGGGATTGAATCGGCACCCCGGCATTACGAAGAGCGTTCGCAGCGCCTTAGCCTTAGCCACAGACGCTGATGATGACTACGTTGATGAAAATAATGATGTTGAAAGTTGATTGTGAAGAAAGATGATAAAGTGATGGTAAAGGGAAGGTGATATTTATTTAACATGCCTGAGAGGCAAGAAACCAGCAGTTTGCATACAAATGAGTCAGATCTGTAAAATGGATGCACATGCAACACTCACGTTCTGGAACAGGACTTCTTCTTCTTCTTCTTCAGCATTCTGAGCCCTTGAGGTTCATTGCTGCAGATATCACCCGCCTTTAATCATCTCTCTGGCTGGCCTTCTCTTTCCATCTTGGTAACACCAAGTGTTTGCAGGTCTGTCTGGATATTATCTCTCCATCATCTTCTTGCTCTCTCTCGTGCTCTACGACCATTCATCTCCCTGGTGTATACAGTTTTTACTTCTCTCTGGAAGAGGACTGCAGTGCTAAATTGGATGAACAACCAGAACTTTCCGCCAGAGTTTACAGCTGGTGAACACAAGAGGAAGAAGATTTAACATGCTGACCATGATAAGTGAGATAATGATGAAAGAATAAGATGATAATGGGGGAAGAGGCATGGATTTTTTGATCAGAAAAAGGATGATATGAACAGTGTTTCTCAGATTGCTTGATACATGGTCCCCTGGCCGGCTGTGAATCATGTGAGCACCCTATTGCAGCTGCTACAGAGTCAACAGTTACTCGCCTGTCACCTCTAATCATCTCCTTCACCCGTTGCATGGATGCATCTGTTGCAGTCTCAACCAGACGACCCTATCTGACTTCATCAGCAATTTTAGAGCGTCCTCGGGATATTTTTTTTTTACACCCGGCAGTGCGCCGCTTGAGTGGCAGGTTTTTGACCACCCTCATCACCTGATCTGTAACCCTGGGTCTGGCACCATATGCCTGATGCACCAGTGGCATGAGAAGGATCCTTCGCTTACGAGCTGCTTGCTTCTTGAATGAGTTTGGCTCAGAAGTTATCTGTTTGTTTGGGATCTGTTCACCAGGTAATCCTGATGTATGGGGAAATGAACATGCAGAAAGATTGGCTGGTTCTGCTCCACTTGGGGGGGGGGGGGGGGAGGGGTATACTGATGCATCTCAAGCTAGATGTTGTAAGAGCCCTTTGGGAGTGAGTCAGCAGTGTTGAGGCACAAATCTATTATAGTCTGAAGAGAATGGTGCATCAAGGAGTGACCAGGGGAATCAGGGGGAAGGAGGGGGGGGGGGGGAAGGGCGAGACAGACATACAATCAGACTGTTACCGGTACTGTCAAAATGGATCTCTGTGCTTGCTGCTTAGATGGGGACAGAGCACTTATGGGAATATTGGTTCGTAACTCATAACTGTTTGTTCATTGTAATTGCTCATTATACAGTTAGTCTCTTAGAGTTAATTGATTGCTTCCTAACTCACAACCCTGTTTGTTCATTGTAATTGCTCATTATACAGTTAGTCTCTTAGAGTTAATTGATTGGTTCCTAACTCATAGCACTGTTTGTTCATTGTAATTGCTCATTATACAGTTAGTCTCTTGGAGTTAATTGATTGCTTCCTAACTCATAACCCTGTTTGCTCATTGTAATTGCTCATTATACAGTTAGTCTCTTGGAGTTAATTGAGTTTAACCCAATATTTATGTCTTTGCCAGATATCACTGAAAGACTTCAAGTTCAATTCAAAATTCCGTGAGGCCTGCCAGACGGCTGTTGCCAGGAACTGTAAGAATAAAAAAACAAAGTAAGATTTTGCTGGCAGACAATGGACACTTTCTGTTTTTATTGTATTCATAACCAGCGAGATCTTGTTTGTACTTTTGCATCTACTGATCCAAGTATTAAATACTTTGTCCTCTTATGAATTCCGGGGCCCTATTGAATGGCGGGACGAGAGGGGGAGGGGGGGGGGAATAGACCCACTGCCCCCAACAACAAGCATGTCATAAAAGTAAACTAATTCGGGTTATTTCCTTGTCAATGCATCTGCCTGAGAGGCGAGAAACCAACAGTCTGCATAAATGTTAACCAGATGTGTTAGGATACAATTGAGCACTTAACCCGACATCTGGACACATAAGTACAAAAGAAGGATTATTTGCCAATGGGGAAAAGTCTAGATTTGAAAATGCCTCAGCTGACGAAAGACCAAGTTTTATACAGGCAGACCGCGATGAGACCGACGTTCTGCAAAAGACCTGCTATCTGATAAAGAATGAAGTAACAGAAGGCAAATCCTATGTTGTTTCTTCTTCTTCAGCATTCCGAGCCCTTGAGGTTCGTTACCGCAGATATCATCCACCTCCATTCATCTCTTTGGCTGGCCTTCTTCTTCAGCATTCCAAGCCATTGAGGTTCATTGCTGCAGATATCACCCGCCTCCACTCATCTCTCTGGTTGGTCTTCTCTTTCCAGTTGGTGACACCAAGTGTTTGCAGGTCTGTCTGGATATTATCTCTCCATCGTCTTTTTGGTCTGCCTTGTGGTCTCGGTCCATTCATCGACCTTATGTATACAGTATTTAGTTCTCTGTCATCTGACATTTTTTCAATATATCTTAACGATTTCAGTCTATTTGCTCTCATGATGCCAGTGATAATTCTATGTTGCTGGTGCATTTTATTGTTAGATTTTTGTTGACATTTTCTATGTATTGGATACAAAACATAAAAAAACTGTGTAAGAACATTTTCTTTCTTTATTAATTATATTTTATGTGACTTTCAAAGTTTAAAAGTCAGTTTTTTCACAGTTCTATTTTTCTGTTTGCTGTGTGTAGGAAACCCTAAAATCTCAGCTAATGTAAAGTCTAGAAACATGAAATTTTGTGTGGATACTCTTTACACAAAATTATCGGGTCAGGTCTATTTAAAAGCTTTATGAGTCTTTTTTTAAGTATCCAGAAACCATGAGTTGTAAACCCTTTGGCTCGGTACTATGAATATCGCAACCCGGGTACGAACTACTTGTGGTCCGGGTTCACTCTATAATGGAATCAAGGCTGAAGGGTTGCGATATCCATAGTACCGAGCCAAAATGTTAACAACTCATGGTTAAATTTGAATATTGTCTTGCTTTGCTACATTTTTCTACCTTTTCAGCACACCTATTTTTTAATATTCTAAGAAAAATATTTAGAAATACCTTTAAAGTAAATAAACTAGACCTGACCCTTAACATAGGATTAAAGTTCATGAATCAGTCATCTATTTTTCAATAACTAATTTTGTTTTGAAATTTTTGGAGTCATAAGTACATATTTTTGTTTTTACAAGATGACGGCTGTTGTTGCCTTGGCAGCCATGATTTTTTAAAACGTAAAGTGAACAAATGTATTAACATACATCCCTACAAACGACCATTATAAAGTAATTGGTGTATTATTGTAAATTTAAACAAATATTCGTTCCTGTAATGACATCTTAGTCGGCTCTGCGGCTAAGTCGATGCGAACGCTTCGTAATGCCGGGATGCTGGGTTTGATCCCAGCTGCTGGCCATGCGCCTTGCATTGGTTTTAACAGTAATATCAAGAAAACCGACCGTCCAGTAAGCAATGGCAAACTAGTGAACGTAAATTTGCCTAGAAAAACCAAACAGTCAGGGGCTGTTGGGGTTGGTTCTGCAACGTCATGTAAAGGATACGCAACTAACCTAAACAGTGACCCCTTAACAGAGAACAGGAAGAACTGACAGTTGCTCTTCACTACCTCATTTGTAGTGACCAAGACCTGATTCTGCCTACCCATATGTTAAAGAAAGGGACCCCTTTCCACAGCTTCAGGCCTATTGGGCATATAGGACAAGACCTATATTTTATAGACAAGTTGACGCTTGGTGGGTGATTTGGTCAGCTTCATGCCGGCCACCTCTACTTCCCAGGACTGCACCTGGTGCCCACTCATGGCCGAGTCCGCTTGGGAGTCAAGGTAATTTTTTTTTTTAAATTAAAAAAAAACAAAAAAATGTCCGGCATCATTAGGACCCAAATCTACGACCTTCCGACCCGCAGGCAAGAGTCTAGCCGCTACACTTCGGTGATTCCCATGGCCATATGTATAACAAGTAATTTGCGGTAATACACATACGTTCTTACATAATGGTCACATGGTTTGTTTCAGGTATGATGTGATTGCCTGTTTGAGTGAGCACGTGAGGAATGATACCCTCTTGGAGAGTCCTCAGAGAATTGATGACCGCTGTCGGAAGCAGCTCAAGTTCGAGCTGCTGCAGAGGGTAGGACATCACTTCTCCTCTCTCTCGTCTAGTTTATCAAGTTGTTTATATTGGTGTTTTTCAAAGTGTGCAGAGCAAGAAATGGGGAACAATGAAGTACCTGCAACTGACATGCAAGTTTATAGAGGCAACCTACCTGATGATCTGATCTGAGCATACGAAACCAGACGCAAAGAAGAAAAGAAGAAGAAGAATGTTGGTGTTTAAGATTACTACATCAGTTCTTGTTAGGGTTCTTGCCTCAGTTCTTGTTTGTTATTCTTCTGTTTAGATTTACTGCATCAATTCTTGTTTAGTATTCTCATGTTCAGGGTTCTTGCATCAGTTCTTTTTTGTTATTCTTATGTTTAGGGTTCTTGCATCAGTTCTTTTTTGTTATTCTCATGTTTAGGGTTCTTGAATCAGTTATTTTGGTGTTAGTCTCATGTTTAGGGTTCTTGCATCAGTTCTTGTTTGCTATTCTCATATTTATGGTTCTTGCCTCAGTTCTTGTTTGTTATTCTCATATTAATGGTTTCTGCATCAGTTCTTGTTTGTTATTCTCATATTTATGGTTCTTGCATCAGTTATTGTTTGCTATTCTCATATTTATAGTTCTTGCATCAGCTCTTGTTTGTTATTCTCATATTTATGGTTCTTGCATCAGTTCTTGTTTGTTATTCTCATATTTATGGTTCTTGCATCAGTATTTGTTTATTCTCATATTTATAGTTCTTGCATCAGTTCTTGTTTGTTATTCTCATATTTATAGTTCTTGCATCAGTTCTTGTTTGTTATTCTCATATTTATGGTTCTTGCTCAGTTCTTGTTTGTTATTCTCATATTTATGGTTCTTGCCTCAGTTCTTGTTTGTTATTCTCATATTTATAGTTCTTGCCTCGGTTCTTGTTTGTTATTCTCATATTTATGGTTCTTGCCTCAGTTCTTGTTTGTTATTCTCATATTTATGGTTCTTGCCTCAGTTCTTGTTTGTTATTCTCATATTTATGGTTCTTGCATCAGTTCTTGTTTGTTATTCTCATATTTATGGTTCTTGCATCAGTATTTGTTTATTCTCATATTTATAGTTCTTGCATCAGTTCTTGTTTGTTATTCTCATATTTATAGTTCTTGCATCAGTTCTTGTTTGTTATTCTCATATTTATGGTTCTTGCCTCAGTTCTTGTTTGTTATTCTCACATTTATGGTTCTTGCCTCAGTTCTTGTTTGTTATTCTCATATTTATGGTTCTTGCATCAGTATTTGTTTATTCTCATATTTATAGTTCTTGCATCAGTTCTTGTTTGCTATTCTCATATTTATGGTTCTTGCCTTAGTTCTTGTTTGTTATTCTCCTTCTCCTGCTGCTGCTGTTGTCATTCATATTTTCAAACATCCCAGGTTGCTGCCTTCTTTGCAGACAACTACTTCCCCTACTACTTTTTTCCTCTGCCGCCCTCCTGCTTCTTCACCCTTTCTCCTTCGCCCTACTTTCTCTGCCGCCCTCGGCTCGTCTGCTACATTCATATACTGCCATATCCTCCTTCACTACTCCTCCTTCTCCCATCTCCTTCTCCACTACCCCTCCTTCTTCACTGCTTGCTCTTCCTTTACTACCCTTTCTCCTATTCAGCCCCTTCTTAACTGCCCTTTCTCCACTGCCACTTCTCCACTGCCCCTTCTTAACTGCCCCTTCTCCACTGCCCCTTCTCCACTGCCCCTTCTCCACTACCCCTTCTCCACTGCTCCTTCTCCACTGCCCGTTCTCAACCACTGCTCCACATTCTACCACCCCTTTCTACACTGCCTGTCCTCAGTCAACCTGCTTCTCTACTGCCCTTGCTTCACCACCCCTGCTTCTCCTCCAAGGGTTCTAGTCTGGATTCCATCCATGATATCGATTGCCAAGCATGGAATGGAATAGAGGATAACACTGTGTGATATCTAATGCAGCTATAGTATGATGATGATGCAGGAGTTCTGGAGGTTATGCTTTGTTTGATGCTCTTGACAGGTGACAGGCAGCTTTGAATAGAGAGATCAAGCCAGAGGGTGTAAAACTATGAGGAGCAGAATCAGGCCTCTGACCTTTAACCCTGTTACCCCAGAAATGCTTAAAAAAGGGCCATGACCCTGGGGGAATTAAAACCCCTCCATGTCTTTTTGTATGCACAAATCTGGACAGAAACAGTCTGGCAGTTTGGTTTCATTTTATTCAGTTGTTACTAAAGTATGCAGGAGTTGCCGCGGCGTAGACGCTCGCCTGTGGTTTGGAAGGTAGTGGGTTCGCTACCTGGCAGAGCCAGACTCTCAGAATGACCCAACCTTGAGTGGGTACCAGGTGCAGTCCCGGGAAGTAAAGGTGGCCGGCGTGATGCTGACCACATCACCCATCTTGTGCTAATTGGTCTAAAAAATATAGGTCTAGCCCTATATGCCCTATACGCCTAAAGGCGTGGAAAAAAGACCTTTACTTTTTACTGTAGTATGCTCTTGAAGAGGTACAGACAAATACACCAGGCAGTAAATTGTACAGCATATTGTTTGTGTCTTTTTTTATGTTTTTATTGACAAGGCGGAACATTGCTTTGATTTTGTCCATTGTCTCTAAGATAGATTCCTTTCTTTTCTACATCTTTTTCTGGTGAATCTATGTTGATGTGTTTGCATTCCAGGGGGAGACAATTAACATGGACCCGGAGCTGAAGGCGAAATGTGGCGGGGACATAGGACTTTTCTGTCTTAACAAGAGATCTGGAGAAGGAGAGGTATGGCTTTACATGGGGTTTTTGTGTGTGTGGGCATGAGTTTCAAACTAAGATCCTTTGTTAAGACTGTCTTCTTCTTCTGCTTCTTTGTGTTCACGAGCTGTAAATCCCGATGGCAAAATCTGGTTGTTTACCCACTTCTGGACTCTAATCCTGTTTCTGAACCCGAGTGTTGCATGCTCATCCATTCTACAGATCTGTCTCATTTGTATGCAGACCGCTGGTTCCTTGCCTCTCAGGCAGATGCCCTCTGACTGCAAAGAAAGCTCCCATTTAGTCTACTCTTATGACATGCTTTTGGATATGCATTAGCTCTGTTCTTATTTCCCCCCTCTCCCCCCCCCCCCACACACACACACACACACACACACACAATGGGCCCCAGAACCCACGTGGGGATCTTCTTCCAGAACTGGAATTTTACGTTCATGTTCAGTTTAGGGATCTGGCATATGCCGTATAGCTTTGAATGGAATATCTCTAGTTAATCTCACCTTGTATGATATGCTTGTTTGAAAGGGGGTGGGGGGCAGAGAGCCCAGTTTCCTAACCCCCTCCCCAAATGGGGTCTCGGAACTGACTTATTGGGAGTCGAGATTTTATATACATCATCATCAATCAGCAAGTCCTTTACAGAACTTGGCTCTTTTCACGGCACGCCTGAAAGTATCCCTTTCCCTAGCCAGCTCTCCAGCCCCATGTGCTTTCAGTACCAATGCTTCTTCAGTGTCTTGTATCCATCTTCACGATGGTCGACCCCTGCCTCGCCTTCCACAGACTGCACCCTCCATCACCGTCTTTTCCAAGCCACTATGACGCTTGATGTGGCCAGAATACTTCTACTTTCGGGACAGAATGCTGTTTATGAGCCAGTTCTCCATGATGTTCATTTCATTTAGAACGTCTTATGTTTTTCCTCTTCTTGATCCATGGTATTCTAAGAATTGTTCTATAACATTTAAATTCAAAAGCTCCAATCTTTTTTCTCAGTAACTGAGTGAGAGTCCAGGACTCGCAACCGTAAGTCAAAACTGCAGCAGCATTCTCTCCCCCCCCATGTCCCGCTTGCACACATCTTTATATCCTAGTAGAGGCTGGGCTCTGCATCTTCTACCATTCTGTAATTAACCGTAGGGGATGTTAAGAACTCTAAAGATAAGTATTATTACAAGTAATAATAGCAGAAACAGACTGCATATGAGACTTTTTAACAGTAGAAAATTTGGAAGGAAAGCAAGAGGAAGACCAAGAAAAAGATGGTGTTGCAGAATCCTGCAAAAAGATGAACAAAAACAAAACTCAAGCCACCCTAGAAGCACAAGACAAATTCAGAAAACCATGACACTGGGCTACAATCTGTTAACAGTGAGATGACAAAAGAAGAAGTACAATAGCAGAAACAGAAGATATTGTTTAGAACTGTCGCATTCAAGTAATTACCAAGTGGCAGAAATATGAAAAAAAAAGAAGCTTATAGACGACCAGAAACCATATCAGTAAAAGTAAATTACATAGAGATAAAACAAACAAGTGAATTTGAATACCTAGGGTCACTTGTCACACACACAGGAGGAAGACTGGATCTTCTTAAAGTCCATGCCGTTGGTAGTCACATCTATCCACAACCTTCTGTCTCGTGTACTTTCAGTCAACTCTTGACACAGATAACCCTTCATGCCATGATTTCAAACTGCCCAGCATCTGTTCTCTCGGAAAATACTGCAGCCGTGTTGTAAACAGGTACAACACAGTTACATCTTCTGATGAACACAGAAGATGTAGAATAAAAAGAGGCGTAACAAGTAACAAGAGGAGGTCAAAATAAAAACTGAAGAAATTAGAAGACTAGTACTGAAGAAGAAATTAGAAAACTAGTACTGAAGAAGAAATTAGAAGACTAGTACTGAAGAAGAAATTAGAAGACTAGTACTGAAGAAGAAGAAATTAGAAGACTAGTAATGAAGAAGAAATTAGAAGACTAGTACTGAAGAAGAAATTAAAAGACTAGTAATGAAGAAGAAGTTAGAAGACTAGTACTGAAGAAGAAATTAGAAGACTAGTACTGAAGAAGAAATTAGAAGACTAGTACTGAAGAAGAAATTAGAAGACTAGTACTGAAGAAGAAATTAGAAGACTAGTACTGAAGAAGAAATTAGAAGACTAGTACTGAAAAAGAAATTAGAAGACTAGTACTGAAGAAGAAATTAGAAGACTAGTACTGAAGAAGAAATTAGAAGACTAGTACTGAAGAAGAAATTAGAAGACTAGTACTGAAGAAGAAATTAGAAGACTAGTACTGAAAAAAAAATTAGAAGACTAGTACTGAAGAAGAAATTAGAAGACTAGTACTGAAGAAGAAATTAGAAGACTAGTACTGAAGAAGAAATTAGAAGACTAGTACTGAAGAAGAAATTAGAAGACTAGTACTGAAGAAGAAATTAGAAGACTAGTACTGAAATGTGTCATACAGTTTATTAAAGTGCAATAGATGAGATGGTTTGACTGTCGATGCGAATCGCCAGGGTACCAGCTGTCATAGAGATTCACACTGAAGAAATAGAAGATTTAGTGGAGGCATTAAGAAAAGCCTTAGAGAAATGAAGAGCAAGTTATGCAACACACTGGAAAGAGTACGCAGAAGATCCTTGTATATACCACCAACACTTTGATTAAAAAAACTGCAGGGGGTGAAACAGTAGTAAAGAAGTTGTTCTGTTTACTCACTTTGATATTACAATCTGTGGCAGATTATGGGATATAGGTAGTTGAGAGAATTGTTCTGTTTAATCACTTTGATATTACTATCTGTTGCAGATTATGGGATATAGGTAGTTGAGAGAATTGTTCTGTTTACTCACTTTGATATTACAATCTGTTGCAGATTATGGGATATAGGTGGTTGAGAGAATTGTTCTGTTTACTCACTTTGATATTACAATCTGTGGCAGATTATGGGATATAGGTAGTGGAGGTAATTGTTCTGTTTACTCACTTTGATGTTACAATCTGTGGCAGATTATGGGATATAGGTAGTGGAGGTAATTGTTCTGTTTACTCACTTTGATGTTACAATCTGTGGCAGATTATGGGATATAGGTAGTGGAGAGAATTGTTCTGTTTACTCACTTTGATATTACAATCTGTGACAGATTATGGGATATAGGTAGTTGAGATAATTGTTCTGTTTACTCACTTTGATATTACTATCTGTTGCAGATTATGAAATACAGGTAGTTGAGAAAATTGTTCTGTTTACTCACTTTGATATTACAATCTGTGGCAGATTATGGGATATAGGTAGTTGAGATAATTGTTCTGTTTACTCACTTTGATATTACAATCTGTGGCAGATTATGGGATATAGGTAGTGGAGGTAATTGTTCTGTTTACTCACTTTGATGTTACAATCTGTGGCAGATTATGGGATATAGGTAGTGGAGAGAATTGTTCTGTTTACTCACTTTGATATTACAATCTGTGACAGATTATGGGATATAGGTAGTTGAGATAATTGTTCTGTTTACTCACTTTGATATTACTATCTGTTGCAGATTATGAAATACAGGTAGTGGAGGTAATTGTTCTGTTTGCTCACTTTGATTTTACAATCTGTGGCAGATTATGGGATATAGGTAGTGGAGATAATTGTTCTGTTTACTCACTTTGATATTATTAGCTGTTGCAGATTATGGAATATAGGTAGTGAAAATAATTGTTCTGTTTACTCACTTTGATATTACAATATCTGATGTTACAATATGTGGCAAATTATGGAATATAGACAGTGTGGCAATCTCTGATATTACTATCTCTCATATTACAATCTCTGATATTACAATCTCTGACAGATTATGGAATATTGACAGTTGAGACAGGTATTCTGTTTACTCAGTTTGATTTTGCAATAACTGATATTATAGTCTCTGATATTACAATCACTGATATACAGTCTCTAATATTACAATCTCTTGCAGATTATGGAATGTCTCCGGGCCCACAAGAAAGAGCTTTCCAACCCTTGTCACAAAGTTGTGTTCCAGAGAGAGGTAAGTTTTATGTGATATGTTTGCGCCAGCTATACAGTATGTTACTGCGTTGATGTACGGCAGTGCAGTAAATTTGAACACAGCGTATTGCTAATAAAACATGTATAACAAAATGGGGCTAGACTTGAGTAGGTTGTTAGATCCGATTCCTAACCTTCTCCAGACTATGGTGGGGATGCAGAGGTGCTGAACCACAAGTGTACCAGGACCAAGCCCATACTGGTCAGAACCATCTACACAACTTTATGGTCATCCTACGATTTATTACAGAAGTAGTGGTAATTACAAAGAAGACTGACCCGCCAGAATGCAGCATCAAAGAAAATGGGACAAACCTCAAGCAAGTTGATATGTTTGAGTATTTGGGTTCCCTGATAACATCAGATGGAAGATGAATTAAAGAAGTTAAATGTAGAATAGCTCAAGCAAGGGAAGCATTTTACAAAATGAAGACAATTTTATTCAGTCTTTCTTGGTCAATTGAGACGAGAAAGAGAATTCTTAAAAGCTATTTAATTCCTATCTTGACATACGAAAGTGAATCATAGACAGTTGGTAAATTGGTGAAAACCTGTTTAGAAGTTGCAGTGTGGTTTTATAGACAAATGATGAGAATATCCTGGGCAGATAAAAAGAGTAATGAAGATGTCTTGAAAAAAAAAAACTGACTCACAAAGAGAACTGATTGCCCACATCAGAAAGAGACAGTCTACATTCTTTGGTCTCGATGAATCTAGTACAAGGTGTTGTTCTCATAGTCTGTCTGATAGTGAGTAATGATACTATCAGATTGTGGGAACAACACCTTATGCAAGATTCATTGAGAAACAGCAGATCAGGTGGTTTGGCCATCTTCTTAGAATGCAGCAAGATCAGATACCATCACTAGCACTACATCTCAGAAGATCAGCTACAAGAGCTAAAGGATGGCAGTGAAAATACGGATTGACAACATTAAAGACACTTTATGCCTCACGGCATGAAAATAGCCAGTGGCAGCCGGCATGCAGTAGATCGCAGATTATTCCTCCCCACGACGCTTAATGGCAGAAGTGGTTTATGCTGATGATGATGAAGAGGAGAAACCTGAAGAACATCGAAACAGTAGGAAAGTTAGAGGGAAGGAGAGGCAGAGGGAGACCGAGAGAACAGATGCTGGACAGTTTGACTTCATGGCAGGAAGGATCATCTGTGTCAGAGCTGATTGAAAGTACAGGAGACAGAAGGTTGTATATATACATGACCACCAACGCCACATTGCATGGACTTTAAGAAGAAGAAGACATTTTATCTACTGGGAGCTAGCCAGACTGCATAGGATGCTTATTTCCTTAAAATTTGGAGCACCTCTGCCTGGGAGACATGGAACCAACAGTCTGCACACACACACAAAAGCCAGATCTGTAAAGCAGATGTGCATGCAACACTCAAGTTCTGGAACAAGACCAACATGCAGAAGTGGACAAACAACCAGGGCTTTCTGTCAGAGTTTCCAGCTGATGAATTTTAACTCTTTCAGTCCTGGAACCCAACATGAGGAAAAGATTAATCGACTACTATGGGACAAATAAATGCAGAGCAGAATATGAACGTTACAAAACATAATCATTGACTGGTTAGGGTCGAGGAGATCTATCGATGGAAGCACTAGAGCACAAAACCCGCCAGCTTTCTGTCTTTCGCTTTTTAACAAGTTTATGATATCCTTCTCCTGTCCAATTCTTGATGATGTTATTCTAAGTTCTTCTTTGTACTCCTCTTCTTCGCATACACTCCCCCCCCCCCCCAACTTCCTTGAAGTTCAGTCTTTGCAATCGAATCATGTATCACCACGTGCCCAAATCAAGCCTGCGATGTTTCACCCCTCCCCCCCCCCCCCACAGCTCCTGATGTCCTGTGAATTTGTTTATTTTGTCTCTCACATATGCAACAACACCTTGCAGCAGCGCCTTGCAGCAACGCCTTGCAGCAACACCTTGCAGCAACACCTTGCATCAACACCTTGCAGCAACACCTTGCAGCAACACCTTGCAGCAACACCTTGCATCAACACCTTGCAGCAACACCTTGCAGCAACACCTTGCATCAACGCCTTGCAACGCCTTGCATCAACACCTTGCATCAACTCCTTGCATCAACTCCTTGCAGCAACACCTTGCAGCAACTCCTTGCAGCAACACCTTGCAGCAGCGCCTTGCAGCAGCGCCTTGCAGCAACACCTTGCAGCAACACCTTGCATCAACGCCTTGCAGCAACTCCTTGCAGCAACACCTTGCAGCAACACCTTGCAGCAACACCTTGCAGCAACACCTTGCAGCAACACCTTGCAGCAACACCTTGCAGCAACACTTTGCAGCAACACCTTGCAGCAACACTTTGCAGCAACACTTTGCAGCAACACCTTGCAGCAACGCCTTGCATCAACGCCTTGCAGCAACGCCTTGCAGCAACGCCGTGCAGCAATGCTTTGCAGCAACACCTTGCAGCAACGCCTTGCATCAACGCCTTGCAGCAACGCCGTGCAGCAACGTCTTGCAGCAGCCACAGAAAAAGAAAGAAAGAACACATTTAAGTGGGTTATCACACATGTTCGCCATTGTCTCTTTAAAATAACACACTTGCACATGATAATCACATTCCTGATTGTTTTTCATTCTCGAAAGGATACATAAACAGATGGATAAATTCCGTTATCTGAAATATTTTATCTCTTACTATACCTGTATATATTGTATGGAGGGGGGAAAAATCAGGTAGGAAATGGGATATAAAAGGAAATATTATTTACACATCGTTTGAGATAAGGTAAAGGTTAAGTCGGGAGATGTGAACCAGTGTCATTGCACACGGTTATAAACCATAAATGCTCTGCCACCAGTATGGACAGTTGATATGAATTGTCCGCCTGTGTCGCCGTCCGCATGTAATTCTGTAGCTACAGCGACGTTCCTCCATTTACCCTCGAGTGTCAACTCTGGTACCCATTTCCTAGTGACTGGGTAAACCCCGGGAACTGCCAGGTTCTAACACTGACCGTGGGCTGCAGCGAGTCGCAGCTGGATTTGAAAGCGAGCCTTTTATCGACTGTGCTAGGTTTATGCAGTTTGAGGAGTTAGTTAGTTGCATTTCCTTTACAGGACATTGCAGAACCAACCCCAGCATTTGTTTGCTGTTGTGATTTTTTCTAGGCAGATTTACATCCATTAGTTTGCCATTGCTTTCTGGACGGTCAGCTTCTCGATACAACTGTCGAAACCAGCGCAAGGCCCGCAGCTAGGAAGTTTGAGAACAAGTTCAGTAAATATGCGTGCTGGCAACAACAGTGGTCCTGAAATCCCATGCTCTGATTGTGGAAGATTGTTCTATTTGCGAGTCTCGCTAGTCACACTCGCCATCACCATGGGCTGTGATCGTATTCCTTCCTTCAGCGCAATATACCACCAGTCTCGAAAGATGGAAAAAGTATCGACAACAAACCAAAAGGGATGAACAGGGATTGATTTTTAAAAAAAAAGTATTTTTAAAGATGTACTTGTACGGAGCGGCGTCCGTGGCTTAGGCTTTGCGAGTCCGACTTGTAATTCCAGCGTACTGCGATCGAAACCCACTGCTGGCTGCGTGGATTTTTATCATGGTATGGGGTGTCACAGATTGACCCAACCTAAAATGGGTACCAGGATGTATGTCCTGAGGAAGTAAAGACGGCTGGCGTAATGCTGACCACATTACCTACCTAGTGCCAATTGATCTGTAAAAATATGGGATGCTCTTTCCATATGCCCGATACGCCAAAAAGGCGGGAAAAGGGATCTTTGCTTCTTTACTATTTTTGTTTGTCTGTTACTTACAAATTGTATGTATTTTATTTGTGTTTATAGAAAGATGATGCTTTGTTTGGGGACTACACATTGCTACATGTATGCAAGAAAATGATTAAGGTTAGTTATTGGACTGTTTTGTACGGATTCTTCTCCTCTTTTTTTCTTGTCCTTCTCTGAATCTTTTAATCCCCCCTCCCCCACCCCTCTGTCTTCTTTTTTATTCTCCTCCTGCTTTTCTTGTTTTTTTATCATCCTCATCCTCATCAGCATCATCAACAGCATCATCAGCATCATCAACAGCATCATCATCAACAGCATCATCATCATCATCAGCACTATCAACAGCATCATCCTCATCAACAGCATCATCATCATCAGCACTATCAACAGCATCATCCTCATCAACAGCATCATCATCATCATCAGCATCATCAACAGCATCATCATCAACAGCATCATCATCATCAGCACTATCAACAGCATCATCCTCATCAACAGCATCATCATCATCATCAGCATCATCAACAGCATCATCATCAACAGCATCATCATCATAAGCATCATCAGCATCATCAGCAACATCATCATCAGATATCACCTGCGTCCATTCTTCTCCTTGATTGGCTTTTTCTTCTTCAGCGTTCTGAGCTCTTGAGGTTCATTTCAGCAGATATACCCGCTCCATTCATTTCTCTGACTGCCTTTTCTTTCCAGTTGGTGATTCCAAATGTTTGCAGGTCTTCTTCTTATAGTCCATGCCATGTGGTGTTGGTAGTCTTGTCTGTCCATAACCTTCTGTCTTGTGTATTTTAAATTTTTTAATTCTGACACATATGATATTCCATGCCATGGTGTCAAAATGCCCAGTATCTTTTTTTTCAGCCTTCCTCTGCCACTTTTTACCTCCATCTTTCCCACGGCCACTTTTCACCTCCATCCTTCCCACGGCCACTTTTCACCTCCATCCTTCCCACTGCCACTTTTCACCTCCATCCTTCCCACTGCCACGATGTTCTCCTGTTTTCTCATTCACATAGCAGGGCTAAAGAATATAGGTCAGTATTATATCCATCTATCTACATCAGTGGCTCTCAACCTGCCGGTGGTAACCCCTTTTTGTGTGGGTCAAATGACCCTTTCAGAGGGGTCTCCTAAGACCATCGGAAAACACATATTCATTGAAGCTATGAATGAAAATAATTGTTTAGGGGGTAGCCGCAGCATAAGGGAACTGTATTAAAGGGTCGCGGCATTAGAAAGATTTAAGAGCCACTGGTCTACAGTCTTCTTGCTCTGCTTTATGGTCTCCTCTCATTCAGGTTTTGTCTAGTTTGCATCTCTGTTAACTGGCACTCTCTCTATTTGCCTCAGCCATCACAGTTTGTTAAGCTATTTTGATGCTGTGAATTTTGTTGTTGCTTCTCACTGTACATTCTCTGCTGCTTACTTCTTTGATGGGTTCAGAAATTCATTGTAAGACTCTGTTCTCAACAGTTTGTTACAAATGCAACAGTTTGTTATAAATGTTTTGTCTGATTTAGTTGTACTCTAGGGTTCAGAAATTCATTGTAAGACTCTTTTCTCAACAGTTTGTTACAAATGTTTTGTCTGATTTAGTTGTACTCTAGGGTTCAGAAATTCATTGTAAGACTCTTTTCTCAACAGTTTGTTACAAATGTTTTGTATGATTTAGTTGTACTCTAGGGTTCAGAAATTCATTGTAAGACTCTTTTCTCAACAGTTTGTTACAGATGTTTTGTATGATTTAGTTGTACTCTAGGGTTCAGAAATTCATTGTAAGACTCTGTTCTCAACAGTTTGTTACAAATGTTTTGTCTGATTTAGTTGTACTCTAGGGTTAAAAAAGGAATGTAAAAATAAAATATTTAATAAAATTGTAATATTAGAATAAGAAGGAAGTTTAACAAAATAAAAATTGTAATATTAGAAATCATGGACGTTTAAAAGATGTACAATAAAATCATTACATTAAAAGTCAATGAAGTTTTTAAAAATTGTAACAGAAGTCAAGGAAGTTTAAAAAAATGATAACATTAGAAGTCAAGGAAGTTATAAAGGATGATAATATTAGAAGTCAGGAAAGTTATAAGTAAAAGTAAAGGACCCTTTTCCATGCCCTAAGACGTAAAGGGCATATAAGGCTAGACCTATATTTTTATAAGACCAATCGGCACAAGATGGGCGATGTGGTCAGCATCACGCCGGCCGCCTCTACTTCCTGGGACTGCACCCGGTACTGCACCCGGTACCCACTCAAGGCTGGGTTGACCTGGGAGCCAAGGTAATTTTTTTTTAAAAGTCATCTCCAGGGAGCGAACCTATGACCTTCCGATCTGCGGTGAGCGTTTAGCCACGGGGACTCCCAAGAAAGTTATAAAAGATGATAATATTAAAAGTCAAGGAAGTTATAAAAAATGATGACATTAGAAGTCAAGAAAGTTGTAAAAAAATGCTAACACATGGAAGTTGAACAATGGAAAACAAAACTGTAATATTAGAAGGCAAGTAAGTTTCAAAAACAAAAAAATGCTACACAAACCAGGAAGTGAATCAAATGTATTGCATGTATGTTATGAGAACAGTGTTAGCCTAGGTCTCGACACAAGACTGCTGGCTCGAAGATCTCGGATTTTAATCCGCACCGGACAGGTTTAAACAAAACTGATGTTGGCTCCGAGGTCCACCTAGCCTACAAACCTTAAAAGTCCCGTAGAAACTGAAACTACCATGCCATTATCTAGTAAACTGTCAATATTATTGTCAAGGATGTCAAGACACATGACATCACAGTGCAGACGAACACAGTGACGTTGTAATGACAGTTTTAAGATGGCCGCATCACTTTTGACATGCACCAAAGAAGAGCAGGATTCATGTAAAGCTGAAGACCTGGATCAAGACCAAAGTGCAGAATTGAATGAAAAACCTGGACTTTCTGCCAGAGTTTTACGGTAGTTGAGCATTAGGAAGAAGAAGGCATTTTGATTAAATTTACCTCCAGCCATATTTGTGCAGCACATCAACTTCATTGTGAAGATTAACATTCGCTGGTTCACTTTATGTTGCAGGAATATTGTGATATGAACGGTGATGAAGCAGACATCTTTAACTGCCTGAAGGCCAGTAAAAACAAGGATGGTTTTGATGACCGGTGTCGCCAGATTGTAGTGCGTCGCCAGATTGAGAAGTCTCGAGGTAAGAATGAGTTTATGTCTTTTTTGGGATTTTGTTGTTGTTTGTTATTGTATGCATGAAATGGCAACTCATTCCATAAAAAAATACAATGAAAAAGATGCTTTGTCTTCTTCTTTTTTCGTTAGCTTGAAATAAATTATCTGTATCTGCAGTGTTGTCTCTAGTATGAACTTCACTATCTTTTGTATTTCACTCAGCGACCCTTAAAGTTTGACTTGCACAGATGTTTCTCTTGGCCAAAAGTTTTGCCCTAATATGTTGTATTTGAGACAGTCTTGGAGGACATGAAAACAGATGCATTAACCTGTTAAAAGAAGATGAGGACAGTGAGTGTTACAAACAGCCAAATTTCATCAAGTTTATGGTTGCAGAAACAAGTTGTGACAAACATTAATAAATGTTTGTGTCCTGTGTATGAAAGTTAAGGACCTCACAGCATAGCAGTCAATACTGTTGAATTTATGTATGTGTTAGTCATATTCTGTTATTCTGTCCCCATAGGTTCTGAGCTAAAGGTTCTAAGCCATAGTCTTTGAGTCATAGGTTCTGAGCCATAGGTTCTGAGCCATAGGTTCTGAGCCAAAAGGTTCTGAGCCAAAGGGTTCTGAGCCATAGGTTCTGAGCCATAGGTTCTGAGCCAAAGGGTTCTGAGCCATAGGTTCTGAGCTAAAGGGTTCTGAGCCATAGGTTCTGAGCCAAAGGGTTCTGAGCCATAGTCTTTGAGCCATAGGTTCTGAGCCAAAGGGTTCTGAGCCAAAGGGTTCTGAGCCATAGGCTCTCGCAAACTGTTTGTGCAAAATGTAAGAAATTCACTGACATTAGAACTCATTATATCCTTTACACATCCTAATTTTGAATATAATCTCTCTCCACCTCTGTGATCTAGCACCACAGTACAGCTTGCCCGCTTCAGGCTGTTTTTGTTCATATAAACATTTCTTCACAGCATGAATAACACTGTCATGATTGTCTTGGCACTCTCTGAAGCTTTAACTCCCTAAACACAGCTATCAGTGGTGCTCCTATCACCTGTACAACTTCCATACACAACGTGTTGGTGTGAATTGTAGATTCAGAAAATGGCGCGATTCCTGTCGTGCAGTGTTGTGGTGCCCGTATGTGATTAAAATTGATCGCGTGGGCAACTGCTGATCTGTTGGCGACTTCTGCTACCATCAATGATGAACTGCAATTCTAATACTGTGATAAACATTCTGTGTGTTTTTCGTTGGCACAGGAGCGGAGCAAAGATGGGGTGACCTGTTGCTATGAAGCTGAAACTAAGACTACCAGACTACCATACACAAGTTCACAAAAGTTTATGAATGTTTACCATGAAATTTTTTTTTATTCACAGCCATAAATTTAACATAATCTTGCTGTTTGAAGCACACACTGTCCTCATCTTCTTCTAACTGAGGACTGTAGTCTTTTTTTAATGCATGTTGTAGTTGTGCCTACAGTGTCCTCTTAATAGATGGAAAATTGTTGTATGTTGTTTTCTGTTGAGTCTGCTGATGGGGTATTGGGGATGTTTACTGTTGGTTTGTTCTCGCCACAATTCATTTATTTTTTCCTTGATAAGTGTTCTGATTTCTAGTAAGGACAATGAATAGGTGTATTGTTTCTCTTTTGTTCCATTTTTTTGCAAGTCTGTCTGCTAACTAATTTCCTGGTATGCCACAGTGAGCCGGGATCCACTGGAGAATGATTTGATTGTTTTTTGAGAGTCTGTTTAGCTGGCAGGCAAGTTCTTTCTCCATGTTGTTTCTGGATCCCTTTGAGTCGCCTGGAGGACTGACATGCAGTTACACAGGAAAACAATGTTTCTGTAATTTTTTTTTGGATGGGTCCAAAGATTTGTTGTAAGACTTATATTGACATTTCAGATATGAAGCATGCAAAGTTTTATGTTTAAGTCTACAGCCTTCGCTCAGAGTACTAGTAATATTTTATTTCCTATGAAAATAACAGCAGTAGCTTTGTGTTTATTGTGCCTCTCTGTCAGTCAGAAAAAGCTATTAACAGTATTTCTGCCATGGTCAAAGTTGGAAACTCTAATTCTGTATTTTAGACTTCAGACTGAATCCAAGCCCGCAAAGGTTGTCAGTGTTGTTAACTCTAATTCTGACTTTGTATTTTAGACTCCAGACTAAACCTGCAAAGGTTGTCAAAGTTGCAAACTCAAAATCTGACTTTGTATTTTAGACTTCAGACTGAATCCACACCTGCAGAAGGCATGTAAGCTGGACATTCCAAAGTTCTGTCCTCAAGTCTACAAGGAGGGGGCCCACAAAGATGGTGAGCTGGAGGGGCAGGTCATTGACTGTTTGAAGAAGATCTACGCCTCAAAAACTAAGGTAAAAAAAAATCAAGGGAGGATTGATGGGTTATTAAGTTGAAGATAAAGATAGAGATAGAGATATGTGATAAGTACCAAAGTCAGATGTCAGTGGATGATCAGAGTCCTTGTGGTCATCAAGATTGAGATACATTATTGATTGTGGGTCTGTCTCACTTTTTCTCGGAGTGTTGAATCACTGATCAGATCCACTGGTCACTCACTGTTGCACCATTTTTTTTGGTTTAAGCTGATGATCTAGTTGTGCCTGCACACTGTTCACTTGCTCCCAAAGGACCCTCACAACATCTTGCTTGTCCTGCATCAGTTTACCACTAAATAGCGCAGAATCAGCCAGTCTATCTGCCTGTTCATTTCCCAACTGCATGCACATTTTGATAACAAAACTATCATTTGTTTTGACAACTGGACCGATTTAGAGGGAGACAGAGGAAGACATCAAGATTTATAGGGAGACAGAGGAAGACATCAAGATTTATAGGGAGACAGAGAAAGACGTCAAGATTTATAGGGAGACAGAGGAAGACATCAAGATTTATAGGGAGACAGAGGAAGACATCAAGATTTATAGGGAGACAGAGGAAGACATCAAGATTTATAGGGAGGCAGAGGAAGACATCAAGATTTATAGGGAGGCAGAGGAAGACATCAAGATTTATAGGGAGGCAGAGGAAGACATCAAGATTTATAGGGAGACAGAGAAAGACATCAAGATTTATAGTGAGACAGAGGAAGACATCAAGATTTATAGTGAGACAGAGGAAGACATCAAGATTTATAGGGAGACAGAGGAAGACATCAAGATTTATAGGGAGGCAGAGGAAGACATCAAGATTTATAGGGAGACAGAGGAAGACATCAAGATTTATAGTGAGACATCAAGATTCATAGTGAGACAGAGGAAGACATCAAGATTTATAGGGAGGCAGAGAAAGACATCAAGATTTATTTATAGGGAGGCAGAGGAAGACATCAAGATTTATAGGGAGACAGAGGAAGACATCAAGATTTATAGTGAGACATCAAGATTTATAGTGAGACAGAGGAAGACATCAAGATTTATAGGGAGGCAGAGAAAGACATCAAGATTTATTTATAGGGAGGCAGAGGAAGACATCAAGATTTATAGGGAGACAGAGGAAGACATCAAGATTTATAGGGAGACAGAGGAAGACATCAAGATTTATAGGGAGACAGAGGAAGACATCAAGATTTATAGGGAGGCAGAGGAAGACATCAAGATTTATAGGGAGACAGAGGAAGACATCAAGATTTATAGGGAGGCAGAGGAAGACATCAAGATTTATAGGGAGACAGAGGAAGACATCAAGATTTATAGGGAGACAGAGGAAGACATCAAGATTTATAGGGAGACAGAGGAAGACATCAAGATTTATAGGGAGACAGAGGAGGACATCAAGATTTATAGGGAGACAGAGGAGGACATGAAGATTTATAGGGAGACAGAGGAAGACATCAAGATTTATAGGGAGACAGAGGAAGACATCAAGATTTATAGGGAGACAGAGGAAGACATCAAGATTTATAGGGAGACAGAGGAAGACATCAAGATTTATAGGGAGATAGAGGAAGACATCAAGATTTATAGGGAGACAGAGGAAAACATCAAGATTTATAGGGAGACAGTGGAAGACATCAAGAAATTCTTGACAGTCTGTAGTCCTGGCACATAAAAGTGTCAGAACAAAGTGATACATTCTGTTGGCAATCACAGTGTGTGGAGAAACATGATCACCCGTAGATCTGAGCAAGGAATTTCTTTGTCTTCCGGCTGTCAACTCTGACAGAGTCCTGGCTGTTGTCTGCTTCTGGACTTTGGTCTTGTTCCAGAACTTGAGTTTTACATGCAAATCTGTTTAACAGATCTGGCTTATCTGTGTGCAGGCTGTTGGTTCCATGCCTCTGAGGTAGATGAATTTCATTGTCAAAGTAACCACTCTCAAGGAAGCAATGGCAGAAACCAAGACACGGCTTAGTAAAGTCAGCAATCTTCTTCTTCAGCGATCTCTGGTCATGCGCATAATCCACTGTGGGTCATAAACTGGGATGTCTTTTCAAGGTCTCTTAGGTTTCCCCAAAGCTTAGTTGACAGTTCTACTGGGTGTTGCCATATGTCGCTCCGCAGCTCCGCCAGGAGAGGACAGTCTTGCAGGACATGTTCTGGAGTCTGTTCAGCACGAAGACACTGGCAGAGAGCTGTTTGGCTCATACCTAATTTATATGAGTGTTTATTGAGTCTGCAGTGTCCAGTGCGTAAGCGAAAAACTGTGACTTGGTCTGTTCTGTTCAAGTGCCTCAGAAAATCTTTTCCGTAGTCATAACCAGTGTTTGTTTTTTCCAGTCTGTTTCTGATTTTCTCTTGATGAGAGTTTTGACTTCTGGAAAAGATAGTGGCTGGTAGGTCTGTAGTTTGTTACTGCCTTCCTTGGCTAAAGCATCTGCGCTTTCATTGCCTTTGATGCCGCAGTGAGACGGAATCCACTGCAAGTGAATTTCTGCCTTATTTGACAACATAGCAAGTTCCTGTGTTATACTTTGTAGTGTGCTGTCGGTAGGTTTGGACTCAAGGGCCTGTACAGCTGACAGTGAGTCAGTGAGAAAAACGTAAAGTCAGCAATGATGAAAACGAGCAGTTACAGATTTAAGTTAAACATACAAGAAACCTGTTTGAAGAAAGAGAGAAAGCTCGCAAAGAATCATTCAGACCTGATGCAAGCAAACGCCAGCACAATGTAGAAGAACAATGCAAACAGTATATTGAAATCTATGAACAGTTTAGAACCTAAGGACAATGAATGCCATTGGAGCTACTCTTCCTCACTAGCAGATTAATGTCAGAAGCACCCGGAACTTTACCTGGTTAGAGATTTAAACACCCCCCCCCCCCCCTTTTCTAAAACTAGAACCCAGCAAGGCCAGTGCGATCACTACCAGCACCAAATTGCAGGAGATGCCTCACGCCTGAAGCTCAGAGGCCCAAATAATGAAAGACAGCTCAAAACAGCACCGGCCATACCAGCAGCCAGGCCAGCCAGCACACCGAAACTGAGAAGACCCTGACAGTGCAGGTCTACTCTGGCTTGATGAAACAACAGAGGACAGCCAATGAAGATCCTGACAGTGCAGGTCTACTCTGGCTTGATGAAACAACAGAGGACAGCCAATGAAGATCGCTATAATAACAGCGCGAGCTCTAGACCAGCCAGGCAGGTTGAACAGCACAAGATAGCAGAAATCAAAACACGCTGAAATGACGCGCTGATACCTCACTATAATATAACCGAAATGGGCTGAGAGCAACCTTCTCCGGCCCTGGTTGAACGTGGTCATAGTTAAACAGAACAACCTTCTCCAGCCCTGGTTGAATGTGGTCATTTATAGTTAAACAGAGCAACCTTCTCCGGCCCTGGTTGAACGTGGTCATTCATAGATAAACAGAGCAACCTTCTCCAGCCCTGTTTGAATGTTGTCATAGTTAAACAGAGCAACCTTCTCCAACCCTGGTTGAACATGGTCATAGTTAAACAGAGCAACCTTCTCCCGCCCTGGTTGAATGTTGTCATAGTTAAACAGAGCAATCTTCTCCGGCCCTGTTTGAATGTTGTCATAGTTAAACAGAGAAACCTTCTCCAGCCCTGGTTGAACGTTGTCAAGGTTAAACAGAGCAACCTTCTCCACCCCTGGTTGAACGTTGTCATAGTTAAACAGAGCAACCTTCTCCAGCCCTGTTTGAATGTTGTCATAGTTAAACAGAGCAACCTTCTCCAGCCCTGGTTGAACCTTGTCATAGTTAAACAGAGCAACCTTCTCCAGCCCTTTTTGAACATGGTCATAGTTAAACAGAGCAACCTTCTCCGGCCCTGGTTGAACGTGGTCATAGTTAAACAGAGCAACCTTTTCTGGCCCTGGTTGAACGTGGTCATTGTTAAACAGAGCAACCTTCTCCTGCCCTGGTTGAACCTGGTTATAGTTAAACAAACAAAAAACTTTATGATTTGACAGGCTGAAAAATCATAACATTTGCTGTATTTAATTTACTCCATTTTAACATCATATTCCTGTTTTATGGTTTGACACTGCATAAAGTAAATGACTCTTTTTGTCTTTTGCCTTTAGTCGCATTGGACATGTAGGGCTATACTCATATTTTGTAGACCAATCAGCACTGAATAGTTGATGTGGTCAGCATCATGCTTCCCACGCCATCACCTGGTACCCATTTAAGTCTAGTTCGACCCGGAAGCGAAGGTCTGTTTTGAAAACTATATATATATATATATTTATAAAATATAAAATAGGACACACAAGACAACATAAAAATCAAATGCCATAGTAACCGTGTCGGAAATCGAACCTGTCACCCAAAAAAAACCATCTGTCCTAATGTGGATTTGAACTCACCTTCTTTGAGATGAACGTCTCGCTGCTATCCCACGTTATTGACTGTATGAAAAATGTTGGCATCATATTTCTGTGTATGATTCAACAGACTCTTACCAAAGACTGTGAGCATGAGATACAGTCTCGGGTGAAAGAAGCAGCCCTGAACATCAATTTGAATCCGGTGCTGATGAAGACATGCAAGCTTGATGTAAGTTATAAGACAGTCTAGCTTTAGGTACAGTCTAGCTTTAGGTACAATGTAGCTTTGAGTACAGTCTTGCTTTAGGTACAATCTAGCTTTAGGTACAATCTAGCTTTAGGTACAGTCTGACTTTAGGTACAATCTAGCTTTAGGTACAGTCTAGCTTTAGATACATCTAGCTTTAGGTACAGTCTAGCTTCAGGTACAGGCTAGCTTCAGGTACAGTCTAGCTTTAGATACAGTCTAGCTTTAGATACAGGCTAGCTTTAGGTACAATCTAGCTTTAGATACAGTCTAGCTTTAGATACAGTCTAGCTTCAGGTACAGTCTAGCTTCAGGTACAGTCTAGCTTCAGGTACAGTCTAGCTTTAGGTACAGTCTAGCTTCATTTACAGGCTAGCTTTAGGTACAGGCTAGCTTTAGGTACAGGCTAGCTTTAGGTACAGGCTAGCTTTAGGTACATTATTTTACTCATGTACAACTCTATGATCCGCCCTTTCACAGAAAGAAAACAAGGTGATGCTTCCATTGGAATTCTAGGAAAACTTCTTAGAAAACATTTTTTACACAGGCCACTAACAAATTGTTGAAAAATTTATTTGTTTACATTACATTCTTTTTTCTTCAAAATAAATATATAGATGTATGAAGGAAGTGTAATTGATAAACATGAACAGGGCATTAAATTAGATATTTTCCAGGGGCTCAAAAATATATTTCTCAGCTGGCTTATGCCATGAACCTGTGACCTTTATCACTGAGGTTTACTGGAAAGTTTCATGTCAACTTGGCTTTAAAAAAAAAAACCATTTGGTTTTGATACACCTTCCCCCCCCCCCCCCCCCCCCCCCCACCCCAACCAGCACTATTTTTAGTTAATATATTCACATTCTAATCTCATAAACGTTTGCACAAGCGTGAACACACCTAATAGCAATAATTTTACATCTCATTAACGGGTGACTATAGACAAGTCGAAAAGTGACATTTACAGGCAGTAGACCCCCTACCGGAAGTGCTAGTTTTCCAAAGTACAGCAACAAGGTTGCTCGTGGCAGTCGACAAGACCTTATAAAGATGATGGTAAAAAAAATAAAAAAATGGGTACTTTAAATTTAAATCACCTCAAACAAAGGAAATCCGTAAGGTCCCGGGAAAGTCCAGTATTCTAGGGGTGTTAGGTTTAGGGTTACTCTGAGGCGGTTGGGGCTGACCCTAGAATATAGGATCTTTCCAGGAACTCCTAGACTTCAATTGTTTGGGGTAAATTAAAATTTAAGTGCTCACAAATGTTTTCCTTTTTTCCCCCGATGTAACCTGCCTGTAAATGCAAACTGCATCTCTCTTACTAACCTGCAGATCAAGTACTTCTGCCTGGATGCCATTGCTAACGTTAAACAAGTGGAATCTAACGAGAACCCTGAAGGCTACATTGTCCTCGGAAGTGGCGGAATCATTGAGTGCCTTAAGAAAAACTTCAAGATCCTGAAAGATCCAGAATGCAAGAAGGTGAAACTAGCGATATGTTGATAAGTTTGTCAGATACATGTATTTCTTTTAGTTGCACTGACATTTGATATATAGCATATATTATAGTTTAAATTACACTTTCACATAGAGATGTTGAAATACAGTATGTGCTTGAAAGATGTAACAGTCTAGTTAAAAACCTACTAGAGCTAAATGTTAAAGGAATCAAGCAAGGGAAAGATACAAGTTGGGGGATAACATCAAGACTTGGGGGATTAGCAGTCTGAGAGAGTGTACACAGTGAGTGAGTTTACAGGAGGAGAGAGTGTACACAGTGAGAGAGTATACAGGAGGAGAGAGTGTACACAGTGAGAGAGTATACAGGAGGAGAGAGTGTACAGGAGGAGAGAGTGTACACAGTGAGAGAGTTTACAGGAGGAGAGAGTGTACACAGTGAGAGAGTTTACAGGAGGAGAGAGTGTACACAGTGAGAGAGTATACAGGAGGAGAGAGTGTACACAGTGAGAGAGTATACAGGAGGAGAGAGTGTACACAGTGAGAGAGTTTACAGGAGGAGAGAGTGTACACAGTGAGAGAGTATACAGGAGGAGAGAGTGTACAGGAGGAGAGAGTGTACACAGTGAGAGAGTTTACAGGAGGAGAGAGTGTACACAGTGAGAGAGTTTACAGGAGGAGAGAGTGTACAAAGTGAGAGAGTTTACAGGAGGAGAGAGTGTACACAGTGAGAGAGTATACAGGAGGAGAGAGTGTACACAGTAAGAGAGTATACAGGAGGAGAGAGTGTACACAGTAAGAGAGTATACAGGAGGAGAGAGTGTACACAGTAAGAGAGTATACAGGAGGAGAGAGTGTACACAGTAAGAGAGTATACAGGAGGAGAGAGTGTACACAGTAAGAGAGTATACAGGAGGAGAGAGTGTACATAGTGAGAGAGTATACAGGAGGAGAGAGTGTACACAGTGAGAGAGTATACAGGAGGAGAGAGTGTACACAGTGAGAGAGTATACAGGAGGAGAGAGTGTACAGGAGGAGAGAGTGTACAGGAGGAGAGAGTGTACAGGAGGAGAGAGTGTACAGGAGGAGAGAGAGTACACAGTAAGAGAGTATACAGGAGGAGAGAGTGTACACAGTAAGAGAGTATACAGGAGGAGAGAGTGTACACAGTAAGAGAGTATACAGGAGGAGAGAGTGTACACAGTGAGAGAGTATACAGGAGGAGAGAGTGTACACAGTAAGAGAGTATACAGGAGGAGAGAGTGTACACAGTGAGAGAGTATACAGGAGGAGAGAGTGTACACAGTGAGAGAGTATACAGGAGGAGAGAGTGTACATAGTAAGAGAGTATACAGGAGGAGAGAGTGTACACAGAAAGAGAGTATACAGGAGGAGAGAGTGTACACAGTGAGAGAGTATACAGGAGGAGAGAGTGTACACAGTAAGAGAGTATACAGGAGGAGAGAGTGTACACAGTAAGAGAGTATACAGGAGGAGAGTGTACACAGTGAGAGAGTATACAGGAGGAGAGAGTGTACACAGTGAGAGAGTATACAGGAGGAGAGAGTGTACACAGTAAGAGAGAGTGTACACAGTAAGAGAGTATACAGGAGGAGAGAGTGTACACAGTAAGAGAGTATACAGGAGGAGAGAGTGTACACAGTAAGAGAGTATACAGGAGGAGAGAGTGTACACAGTAAGAGAGTATACAGGAGGAGAGAGTGTACACAGTAAGAGAGTATACAGGAGGAGAGAGTGTACACAGTAAGAGAGTATACAGGAGGAGAGAGTGTACACAGTGAGAGAGTATACAGGAGGAGAGAGTGTACACAGTGAGAGAGTATACAGGAGGAGAGAGTGTACACAGTAAGAGAGTATACAGGAGGAGAGAGTGTACACAGAAAGAGAGTATACAGGAGGAGAGAGTGTACACAGTGAGAGAGTATACAGGAGGAGAGAGTGTACACAGTAAGAGAGTATACAGGAGGAGAGAGTGTACACAGTAAGAGAGTATACAGGAGGAGAGTGTACACAGTGAGAGAGTATACAGGAGGAGAGAGTGTACACAGTGAGAGAGTATACAGGAGGAGAGAGTGTACACAGTAAGAGAGAGTGTACACAGTAAGAGAGTATACAGGAGGAGAGAGTGTACACAGTAAGAGAGTATACAGGAGTAGAGAGTGTACACAGTAAGAGAGTATACAGGAGGAGAGAGTGTACACAGTAAGAGAGTATACAGGAGGAGAGAGTGTACACAGTAAGAGAGTATACAGGAGGAGAGAGTGTACACAGTAAGAGAGTATACAGGAGGAGAGAGTGTACACAGTGAGAGAGTATACAGGAGGAGAGAGTGTACACAGTGAGAGAGTATACAGGAGGAGAGAGTGTACAGGAGGAGAGAGTATACAGGAGGAGAGAGTGTACAGGAGGAGAGAGTGTACAGGAGGAGAGAGTGTACAGGAGGAGAGAGTGTACAGGAGGAGAGAGTGTACAGGAGGAGAGAGTGTACAGGAGGAGAGAGTGTACAGGAGGAGAGAGTGTACAGGAGGAGAGAGTGTACAGGAGGAGAGAGTGTACAGGAGGAGAGAGTGTACAGGAGGAGAGAGTGTACAGGAGGAGAGAGTGTACAGGAGAGAGTGTACAGGAGGAGAGAGTGTACACAGTAAGTGAGTATACAGGAGGAGAGAGAGTACACAGTAAGAGAGTATACAGGAGGAGAGAGTGTACACAGTAAGAGAGTATACAGGAGGAGAGAGTGTACACAGTAAGAGAGTATACAGGAGGAGAGAGTGTACACAGTAAGAGAGTATACAGGAGGAGAGAGTGTACACAGTGAGAGAGTATACAGGAGGAGAGAGTGTACACAGTGAGAGAGTATACAGGAGGAGAGAGTGTACACAGTGAGAGAGTATACAGGAGGAGAGAGTGTACAGGAGGAGAGAGTGTACAGGAGGAGAGAGTGTACAGGAGGAGAGAGTGTACAGGAGGAGAGAGTGTACAGGAGGAGAGAGAGTACACAGTAAGAGAGTATACAGGAGGAGAGAGTGTACACAGTAAGAGAGTATACAGGAGGAGAGAGTGTACACAGTAAGAGAGTATACAGGAGGAGAGAGTGTACACAGTGAGAGAGTATACAGGAGGAGAGAGTGTACACAGTAAGAGAGTATACAGGAGGAGAGAGTGTACACAGTGAGAGAGTATACAGGAGGAGAGAGTGTACACAGTGAGAGAGTATACAGGAGGAGAGAGTGTACACAGTAAGAGAGTATACAGGAGGAGAGAGTGTACACAGAAAGAGAGTATACAGGAGGAGAGAGTGTACACAGTGAGAGAGTATACAGGAGGAGAGAGTGTACACAGTAAGAGAGTATACAGGAGGAGAGTGTACACAGTGAGAGAGTATACAGGAGGAGAGAGTGTACACAGTGAGAGAGTATACAGGAGGAGAGAGTGTACACAGTAAGAGAGTATACAGGAGGAGAGAGTGTACACAGTAAGAGAGTATACAGGAGGAGAGAGTGTACACAGTAAGAGAGTATACAGGAGGAGAGAGTGTACACAGTAAGAGAGTATACAGGAGGAGAGAGTGTACACAGTAAGAGAGTATACAGGAGGAGAGAGTGTACACAGTAAGAGAGTATACAGGAGGAGAGAGTGTACACAGTGAGAGAGTATACAGGAGGAGAGAGTGTACACAGTGAGAGAGTATACAGGAGGAGAGAGTGTACACAGTGAGAGAGTATACAGGAGGAGAGAGTGTACAGAAGGAGAGAGTGTACAGGAGGAGAGAGTGTACAGGAGGAGAGAGTGTACAGGAGGAGAGAGTGTACAGGAGGAGAGAGTGTACAGGAGGAGAGAGTGTACAGGAGGAGAGAGTGTACAGGAGGAGAGAGTGTACAGGAGGAGAGAGTGTACAGGAGGAGAGAGTGTACAGGAGGAGAGAGTGTACAGGAGGAGAGAGTGTACAGGAGGAGAGAGTGTACAGGAGGAGAGAGTGTACAGGAGAGAGTGTACAGGAGGAGAGAGTGTACACAGTAAGTGAGTATACAGGAGGAGAGAGAGTACAGGAGGAGAGAGTGTACAGGGGGAGAGAGTGTACAGGGGGAGAGTGTACACAGTAAGTGAGTATACAGGAGGAGAGAGAGTACAGGAGGAGAGAGTGTACAGGGGGAGAGAGTGTACAGGGGGAGAGAGTGTACACAGTAAGTGAGTATACAGGAGGAGAGAGAGTACACAGTTAGTGAGTATACAGGAGGAGAGAGTGTACACAGTTAGTGAGTATACAGGAGGAGAGAGTGTTATGTTGCTGTCAGTTTCTGGAAAAATATTAAGTAGAATTATTTTGGAAAGATTAAAAGATGCTATTTAAAAATGCTAAGAGATGAGCAGGCAGGTTTTCGGTCAAACAGATCCTGTACTGACCAGATAGCCACATTACGTATTATAATAGAGCAAAGCATTGAACTGAACTCACCACTTTACATTGGATTTATAGACTATGAAAAAGCATTTGACAGCATTGATAGGGAATCTCTCTGGAAATTGATGGGGCACTATGGAATCCCACAGAAAATTATCAACTAATTAAAGGCAACATATAAAGACATGAAATGTCGAGTTTTTCATGAGGGAAAGCTAACAGATGCATTTGAAATAAAAACAGGTGTGCAACAGGGACGTCTTTTGTCGCCTCTCTTATTTTTACTGGCTATAGACTGGACTATGAAAACAGTAACTGCTAACACCAAGAATGGAATTCAGTGGACCCCTACAAAACAGCTTGATGATCTGGACTTCGCTGATGATATTTCTCTTCTGTCCCATTCACGGAATCAAATGCAAGATAAATTAAATATACTTGATGCGAGATCACAGCAGCTTGGTCTGAAAATCCATAAAGGAAAGACAAAGATAATGAGAATAAATCAGGCAAATAGTAATGTGGTTTCTCTTAATGGCACCCCACTCCAAGACGTGTAGTTGTACACCTATTTAGGCAGTAATGTAGATAAAGATGGAGGAACTGATAGAGATATTAAAATAAGAATACAAAAGGCAAGAGGGGCTTTCATAGCACTAGGGAATTTGTGGAGGTCAAAAGAAATTAAAAGAAATACTAAACTAACAATTTTTAATTCTAATGTCAAATCAGTACTATTGTATGGGGTGGAAACATGGAGAACAACCAAGGTAATTACTAATAAATTACAGACATTCATTAACTGGTGCCTGTGCAGAATAGAGGGATTAAATGGTATGATAGAATAACTAATGTAGAACTTTGGGAGAGAACTAAACAGGCTCCAGTGGACCAAGAGGTGAGGGAAAGATGCTGGCGTTGGATAGGACACACACTGAGAAAACAGGAGAACAGCATAACTAGAAAGTCTTTGCACTGGAACCCACAGGGGCATAGGAATAAAGGAAGGCCAAAAAACACATGGAGAAGAGAGCTGGAGAATGAGGTTAGAAAGATGGGGAGGACATGGGGAGAGCTCCATGCAATGGCGAAGGATAGAACGACTTGGCATGAGTTGGTTGAGGGCCTATGCTCCATTGGGGGATAGAAAGGCAGAAAAAGAGAGTGTGCAGGAGGAGAGAGTGTACATAGGGAGAGAGAATACAGGAGGAGAGAGTGCACAGGAGGAGAGCAAGTACAGGAAGAGAGAGTGTAAAGGGGGAGAGAGAGTACAGGAGGAGAGAGAGTACAGGAGGAGAGAGTGTACAGGGGGAGAGAGTGTACAGGGGGAGAGAGAGTACAGGAGGAGAGAGAGTACAGGGGGAGAGAGAGTACAGGGGGAGAGAGAGTACAGGAGGAGAAGAGTGTAAAGGGGGAGAGAATGTACAGGAGGAGAGAGTGTACAGGAGGAGAGAGTGTACAGGAGGAGAGAGTGTACAGGAGGAGAGAGTGTACAGGGGAGAGAGTGTACAGGGGGAAAGAGACATTTGACTGAAGGGCACATCTATTGTACACTAGCTGTAAACCACAACACAACATGCCAACTGCTTTTAAAGGGGAATGCTGAAAAGAAGAAGAGAGAGAGACATACAATATTTTGAAGACAATGAAAATATAATGCTTTTACGAAAAGCATACTGGAGAGAAAAGTTAAAGGAAGACGAGCAAGGGTAGACAGCGATGGAAAAGGGAGGATAACATCAAGACATGGACGATCACCAGTATAAAAGAGTTTGAGGTGAGAGACAGTGTTGTTTCATAATAGAAACTTTTTTTGTGGAGACGACACTTGACTAATTGATACTTCTTATTTGAAAATAGCAGCTTCACTTAATCTTTTTATGATTCTGTCACAGGAAGTCGCATATGCAGTTGCCGAGAGCAGAATAGACGTCCACGTTGATCCTCTGCTAAATAACGTCTGCCAGCAGGATCTGATAACAAACTGCAGGGAGGTACCTCAAGGTCAAGGCAGACGTAAGTTTTGTGTGTGTGTGGTTGTGTGGTGTGTGTATGTGTGTGTGTGGATGTGTGTGTGGGTGTGTGTGTGGATGTGTGTGGATGTGGGTGTGTGTGTGGGTGGTGGTAGAATGTTTCAGTATCTTAAGGCAGATTTAAAAAAAAAAATGTGTATGTTATATGTGTAAAGAAGTCACTTTCTCTCCTATCATAAAAATGTTCCGGTAAACTAATGTTTCACTCCCTAAATCCAGCCCGTATATACACTAGCTCAAGCTCACTTCTGATTGGTAGGCCGTGAGCCACATGTCCTGGGCACAAGGTTACAGGGGTTTTCCGCAATGCCGTTGGTATCGCGTGTTGTATATTTCAGCTCGCCAGCGCTTTCAACACTTCAAAAACATGGACAAACTGGGTCTAACACAACCCCTCTAGAGAGTTCTGCAAACTGTGTCACAAGCATTCTCTTTTTCGGAATAAAAATGTAAATGCAAGACAAACCAGAAAGCAAACAACAGAGCGGCACACCATTAACCTGCAGGAAAGTAGACCAGCCCAACAAACTTCTCGATAAAACGTGACCTACTTTGTTTGGGGAGACTACTTAAACCTAACCGATATTTCTATAAAAAAGTATCCCCTTTATTTTCCAGGGTCTCTCTCTCTCTCGTACTTGCTTCCACTCGTGCTCGTTCAACCCAGATCGTTGTCTAGGGGTCACTACTGTAGATAGACGAGGCTGACTATTTTACATCAACGATCACACTACTCCAAATGATAGTTGACGATGACTAATTCCAGGTTTATTCCATCTCTAATATAGAACAAGAATCAATATGACAATCTAACTTACGCTATCCAGGCAAGGATCATTTGCTCTTACGTTTGGGCACACAGCCACGCCACATTTGATGCTGACATACACACAGTCGATACAAGCAACCCTTAATCAGATATGGCCATTGTCCTCAGATGTGCTTCAACGTAGAATTACCACAGTCACTTCACTCAGGATACACTTTCATCCCGAACTGTCTGGGGACCTGTCACAGAATCACTTCCCAGTCAGCAATCTCTCAGATCGTGGCGTCCGAAAACTTAGGCGTTGCGAGTCCGACCCGTAAGCCAGCGTACCTCGATTGAAACCCACTGCTGGCTGAGTGGATTTTTTATCATGGTACGGGGCGTCGCAGGTCGACCCAGCCTAAAATGGGTACCAGGATGGGCTGTCCTGGGAAAGTAAAGACAGCCGGCGTAATGCTGACTACATTACCCACCGAGTGCTGATAGTCTGTAAAAATATGGGTGCTCTTCCCATATTCCCGATACACCTTAAGGCGTGGAAAGGGATCTTTACTTACTTTTACTTAATCCCTCAGATCTTCTGTTCACTCGTGAATTCACCATTCCCGTGTTTTTACCATTTCCCCATGAACCTTCTCCTGACTCTCACTTTAGCGACTTCCCCAGTTCTGTAAATTAGTCAACCCTAATGTTATCTCTATTATAGCATCATTACAATATGTTATCACAGTCGACTTCACTGCATACTGGCCATTTCCATGCCTGCTAAGTCCTCTGATGCAGCAGCCACTCCAAGGTACCTCTACTGGTTGTTCCAGTGAGAAGTTGACTATGATGTCTCCTATCTTGACCTAGAACAGGGCTATTCAACTAAATCTACTTAGGGGCCAACATGTTGAGAATAGGGCTGGTCATGGGCATTCCCACCAAAGGTGTCACTTATATCCTGCTTCCATCTTCAGTTTCTGCCCTTACTTCCTGGTACCATCCTTTCTGCTATTTTGTTTGTTTGTTCAGTCAGCCGTGGTGCTTGATATGGCCAAAATATTTCAGTTTTCAAGATAAGATGCTGTTTACCAGCCAATCTTCCTTGATGTTCAGATCTTGTAAGATGTCAGTATTTCTTTTTTCTTTTTCCATGGTATTCTGAGAATCTTTCTGTAGCATTTCAGTTCATATGCCCCTAGTTTTTTTACTTCTTTCTTCTCTTCTACCTTGTACCTCAGTGAAGTGTCGGGGGGAGAGGTAACATTTGTTGATGAGCTCTGCCTAGAGCACTATTAAGACTGATGTTCATTTCTATAAGGCTGTTCTTAATTAAGACATGTTCATTTCTCTAGGGCTGTTCTTAAAGCCATCACTCCATATTTTCCGAGGTCTTCCACTCACCCTATACCAGTTGTAATGTTTTAGTGTGACTCGCTGTGGCTGAGAGTACCAGGGCATTCTTGTTAGGTGTCCAAACCACTTCATCTGTTGTTCTTTGATGGCTTGTAAGACTGGCTTTATTCCTAGCATTCGTCTGATTTCGTGATTTTTGGTACCCTGTCTTTCATTGAAACTCTTACATCTCTTCTAAGGCATTTCATCTCTGTTGTCACAATTTTACGTTCATTGGAGGATGTTCCTTAAGGACTGCAAGATGGTCTACAACTCACATCCGGATGTTGCTACCTGGAAAATGTGTTCTGTCAAAATGTTGACTTTTATTTCCTTGTTGGTGCTCGACCATAGACTTTTATTGAAAAGTTGTATACAATTTGAAAACGTTTGTTTTCGTATAATGGATAACTGAGGTGGGTGATAATCTGCTGTTGCAGTGAAACTTAAAGACTGGAATGCTGAAGAAGGCAAAAAAGATTTTTTTGTAATTAAAAATGTGAGAGCTGTGGTAGTGAAGTAGCTAGATGCTGGCCTGGTCGAAGGTTCGATTCTGTGTTGAAGATGTTTATAATTGCCCTGGCTGCAGTGTTGACCCAGTCATTGGGTCCTGGGAATTGTTCGGGGAAATAAAGGCAACTGATATTAATTCAAGTCTGGGGATTGAGGACTTTGTCCGTGTGGACAGACACCACAGAATACTGAAAATGTGCTACCGACATGCTCGCTACATGCGGCAAGAGAGATCCCAGTTTGGCATTCTAATGGAAACCAGGTTATGTGTTGAATGTTGAATTAAGAAACGACATCACAGCACTTTGGACACCTCTATAATCACTCCAATCCCCATCTTCAGCAGCAAGCAAATAGTTAAAATTCCGATGGTACAAGTCTGATTGTATATCCGTCTTGCCTTTTCCCTGAGTGTCAAGCGTCTGCCAAACCCCCTTCTCCTCAGTGCCTTTCTCCTCAGACCGTATTGATCTATCTGTGCCTCGGTACTGTTCTCTCGCTCCCAAAAAGCCCTCACAACATCCAGCTTGTCTTTCATCGGTTCACCACTAAGTGGTCGGAACCGGCCAGTCTATCTGCCTGCTCATTCCCCAACCATGTTATATGGAACATTGGAGGGCATGTACACACACACAGATTACATTGAGACCTGTTGCCTCCTCATCTGAAAACCACCCACAGGGGGAATGGAAAGAAGGTAGGTAGGTAGGTAAGTTGTACCCCACCAGGACATCACACAGAGCGATAAACACTGGTTGACACAAGGTGCCACCATGCGGATAGGAGGATCACCCGTGGAGAGGTTGCAAAAACCCCTTTCAGCCAAAAGGCCATAATTAGGGCTTGGCTATATTTAGGGCCCCCCCGGCAAGAGCCAGGGTGGGGCTGCAAACTAACGAAAAATTATGTCCCACATGGGGACGAACTTGGTTAGAAAAGAAGAAGAAAGAAAAGATGTTATGTGGATCACCTCACTAGTTGAGTGTTGAAACGTCAGTACAGTTAAGAGTCTTGCATACTATGCCTAGAGTGCTATTGAAGCGAAAAGGGTTCTTTTTTTTTCATTACTAAACAAAACAGTTGTTTACAAATTTGAAAAGTTTTGATTCTGTGTAAATAAACTAGTTGTTTACAGTTTCGCAAAAGGGTTGATTATCTGTCGGTAAAACAAATTGTATACAATTTTAAAGATTTTGGATCTGTGTCAGTTTAAGAAAAAACAAAAATAAAAACAATGTTCTGCATAGTTTTGAAAAGATTTGATTCTGTGTCAATAAAAGAGCTGGATACATGATTAATATCCTGTCCCAGATGACGTCACAGGACAGTCCAACATTTTAGAGGGTGGTAAGACTGGGTTTCCTGGCTTTCTGATGCTTTTAACGACCACAAAACATCTAGAACTGGCCTAACCCCACCCCACCTACGTCCCACCAGAGAGTGCAGCCTAGGTCCCACGACTGCATGCAGCCTATCTACCACCTTCTGAAATATTAGACTGTCCCATGACCTATAGATTTCCCCTGTTTGGGGTAGGATATAAGTAAAGCACCAAGAGCTGTTTACAGTTTTGTAAGATGACCATTCTGTGATATCTTTGCAGAGATGTCCTGCCTGCTGGCATATCTGGAAACTGAACCCAGTTCTCTGACCAGGAATTGCAAGGAAATGCTGCAACGCAGGAAGGACTTATGGGAATTAGCTGCACAAGTGAGTAATTGAATCTTCAAATGCGAATAAAAGTAGAAGGAGCTTGGAGAGGGGGTATAGATCCACCTCCTTTTAGAAGCATGTCCTAAATGGTGACTAATCAGGGTTTCTATGGAATTGGATATGCTGGGCGAAAAAGGCCTATTTTGCAGCCTGTCTGTAAATCACAACACAGCATACAACCAGCCCTTTAAGGGCAAATGTTGAAGGTGAAGAAGAAGGAGGAAGAAGAAGAAGGAAAAAAGAAGGAAGAAGAAGAATTAAGAAAAAAGAAGGTGGAGGAAGAAGAAGAAGAAGAAGAAGAAGGAAAAAGAAGAAGAAAGGAGGAGGAGGGAAGAAGAAGAAGAAGAAGAGGAGGAGGAGGAGGAGCAGAAGAAGAAGAAGGAGGAGGAGGAGCAGCAGCAGAGGAGGAAGAGGAGGCGGAGGCAGAAGCAGGTTACTTAAAAAAAAAAAAACAACAAAAACTGACATTTTTTGTCTGCATTTCTGTTGTCCGCAGGTGGCGCCAGCAGAAAGCTTCTCTGAGATATACGATCAGATGTCGTCATCGCCGGCCCGCAACTATTTCTTTGCGATTTTATTTACAGTTATCGGCGTCATTTTCATAGCAGGGCTCACCTGCGGTCGCGTCACAAAGAGGATCAGGGCAGAGGTCAAGAACAAATAAACCTGGCTGGCGGAAGAGAGAGTCTCAAGAGATGTATAATAGGCTGAATAAGAGAGAGAGAGAGAGAGAGAGAGAGAGAGAAGAGAGATATTCTGATTTATATGTGATAGCTTGCTCTGTGCGGATGTATTCTAATAATATATTGTAGCAATCATGAGTAGATGATTCTTATAAGTTTTTCAAGATGTGGACATGTTTTTTTTTAAATTAAAAAAATTTTTTTTTAAGTGAGATGTGAAAACTTTTTTGCACGGTTTCAAAATTATGCTGTTTAGTCTTGTTAAATAATTTTTTTCATTAGTGGCTTTATTTATATATTATATTAAATATTTATTAAAATATTTAAATAGGCGGGTGATATCTGCAGCAGTGAACCTCAAAAGATCGGAATGCTAAATAAGAATAAGATTAGTGACTTTGTTACCTACTTCTTATTTCTATTTTGATGTGATAAGTAAACGAAAACCATGTTAAATTAAGTAAGAGTCTATGTCTGAAATGCTGCATGGATTTTTATCGTGGTTTGGGACGCCGCAGGTTGACCCAGCCTCAAATGGGTACCAGGATGGCTGTCCTGGGGAAGTAAAGACGGCCGGCGTAATGCTGACCACATTACCCACCGAGTGCCGATTGGTCTCTAAAACATATGGTACGCTGTGTCCATATGCCCGATGTGCCGAAAGGCGTGAAAAGGGATCTTTACTTTTTTTTTTACTTTATGTCTGAACAGTCAGTGCGCAGTTAGTACAAATACAGGAGTGTCAGAAAGGTTCTACATTAAATCTGGAGTGAGATAAAGAATGTTGAATGTTGATTGTTGAATTAGGAATTGACATCATAGCACTCGGGACACCCCCATAAGCGCCCTGTCACCCATCTTCAGCAGCAAACGAAGATGGAATGTGACATGGGTGCGTTCTTTCACCACTACTGTTCATCATATATGTCGACCAAATTTGCAAATCTGCTAACACCAGTGAAGGGGACAACATCGGAGAATTACTAAATGAACTGTTTTCGCCAATGACCAAGCAGTCATAGCACTGACAGTAGAACAACTACAAGAAAATATTAATAGACTACACCCAGAATGCGACAATTATGATTTGGAGATCAACATAGACAAAACCGAAGTTGTGACATTCTCCAGAAAAGGAAGAACCACCAGTATCAAAATTGATGAACACCTGTTAAAGAAGGCGAAGGAGTTTACATATCTGGGGAGCATTTTTGAAAAACAAACATGTGAATATGAACACCACAAAAAGAACACTGTTCAACACAATGTTCTTATCAACGATACGCTATCAGTGTCAAAATTGGACACTGTCTTTGGAAGACAGAAGGAAAATAGTCACAACATAAATGAAATGTTTATGTACTATACTAGGTGTAATGAGGTAAGATCGATTTAGAAACAAATGATATCAGGAGGAGGAGTCGGCACAGAACCAATACTGAACTTTATAGGTAAACAGCAGGTCAAATGGTTTGGCATCAGACAGGGAACCACAGAGAGCAGTGTTATACAGATACAGCGTTAACAGAGCCAGAAGTCGACCACGCAAAATATGGACAGTACAAATATCAAAGACACTTGAAAGTACTGAATACAAAGTGAACAGAAGGGCCCCGTTCCAGAGATCTCTTCTTACCCCGACACTGTGAGGCATTCCAGGAGTAGAGAAAAGAAGAAGAAGATAAGTTAATGGTATATACTCATTCGCCAGCCCGTCTGTCTAGCGTAGTTGGCTAAACCGGATTGCGCGGTAAGCGGGTGACGAACTCCTTGTGGTCCGGGTTCACTTCCGGGGGTGGGCAAAAAAAGCCACATTTTCTCCCAGATTTACGGTATTTACAATGGAATCAAGGCCGAAAGGTTGCTATATCCATAATACCGAGCCTAAAGGTTAACAACTCATGGCTTCTGGATACTAAAACAAACAAACAAACAAACTCATTCGCCTTGCCAAAACTGGCCTTTACTAAGATACAAAAGATTCTGTTTAACAAGATGTCAGTTGCAGTAAGAACAAAAAGTGTTAAGTAGAACCTGTATTGTTATATGCATGTGAAACATGGACAATAAGTAAAAAAGCTGAAAAACATTTACTCTCAGCAGAGATGTGGTTTCTGAGAAGAATGCACAGAATATCATGGAAGGATAGAAAAACAAAGGAAGTAGTTCTGGTGGAGACAAATGAAAGTCGTGAACTTATTAGAACAGTTAAACATAGGCAGTCAGTGTTTTGTTGGATGTGTCATGAGAAGAAATGGACTTGAGATTTTGATAATAACTGGCAACATTGAACGAACGAACGAACTTTATTTTCAAAGGGTTACAAATTAGGCACGCAGGCCTGTCTTACATTCGGCCCTTCCAAACTTCCATCTTTCACACAGCAGTTATATTCATGAAGCATGTTATATTCATGTAATAATATGCATATTATATATCAAAAAACAAAAGCATGGCTGGTAAAATATGTACGCACGCTCACGCGCCCAATGACTCACACACAAACATATAGGCACTAAGTACACACATACATCCACATACATACAAACATGCACACACACATACATACATACATGACACACACACACACACCCAATTCCCCCCCCCCCCCCCCCCCCCCCCCCCCCCCCCCCGAGCCAGCCCCACCCACCCAGGCATGACACACAGACACACACACACATACACACACACACATCACACACACATACACACACACATACACACATACATACATACACACACACACATACATACACACATACATACACACATACATACACACATACATACATACATACATACATACATACATACATACATACATACACATATTGATGGAAAGAGAGCAAGGTGGAAGGCAGAGAGATAATTACCTGGATGGCCTGGCCAAATGGATGGGACGAGACAAACAACATTGAACTGATCTGGGGTTCTGGGGATCGTGTGAGATGGCGAACATGACAGCCTATGCTTACTGGCATGGCACATGATGATGATGAGCCAGCCCTAGAATTCATGGATGTTTGTGTTGTGTTACTCATCATTATCATCATACTGCAGATTCTTTACAGTCTTTCTTTGTTAAGCTAGTTCTCCAGCCCTGCGTGCCTTCATAACCACTGCATCTTCATAGCATAGTATAACACCATCGTCTGGATAGACAGGAAGGTGGCGATAGTCAGTATTTTTAGGGAAGCTCTATGCTTCAGTTCCTCTGATCTCACTATTAGTCGAAGGTAGCGACCGTTTCCTTCCTAAGTCTGCAACAGATAGAGTGTAACGTCCTTTTCAAGAGTATTTGCAAGATGATAGCAGCATATTTTGAAAACCATGTTTCTTGTTTCTGTCGCATTTACTGATGTCAAAGCCCGGGCCGTGAACACTCGTATGATTTCATCAGCTGTGTTGTTAATGTGTTTGTTAAACCCTGACGAGAATAATGATGATGATGATCATGTGCTAAACATTTTTTCAAAGTATATAAAAAAAAATACGTATATATCCTTCCGATTACTGTGATGTATGTTGAATGTTGAATTAAGAATCGACATCCCAGCACTTGGAACGCTCCCATAAGTGCTGCGTCCCCATCTTTAGCAGTAAGCGAAGAGTTCCAATCCGATGGCACCAGTAGCTGTGTGATTGTATATCCGTCTCATCCTTCCCATGAGTGTTGAGTGTTGAGCGTCGGCCACATTCCCTGGTAACTCCTCGCAGTGCAATTCTACCCAGACCGTAATAATCTATCTGCACATCCGCACTGTTCACTCGATCTGAAAGGGCCCTCACATTATATAGCTTGTCATACATCAATTCACCACTTAGTGATGCAGAGCTGGCCAGTCTATCTGCCTGCTCATTTCCGAACACACCGGCATAACCTAGAGAAAATATCCATAGGATGCTAACTACCCGGAACCTCTGAAGTGAAGCTTGTTATTCTGCACGAAGCGTGCCTATCTCCACCTTTCTCAACATGCTCTGTGAGTCGGTTTAACTGTGATGTTTGAGGTGCCTATGTTTTTTTTTCTCTTCGAAATGTAAGCTTACTTAACTTTTCTGTTAGATGACATTTGCAATTTATGCTCTGTTTAAAGATTCTTGTCATTGTTGAAAATGCTGACTACACAACTATGTAATGACAATTTAAAATAATATGCACTACGTAAGACAGATGAGAATGCTGTGGTACCATTTGCCACAGAGACTTGTTGAAGGGGAAAACCATGCAAAATATGAACAATGGCATCACGAACGGCCGTAAAGAAACGAAGATCAGCTTATACAGGGCATTAAAAAAAAGCTTCGCATGTGGGTTCTGGCGGTCCCATCGTGGGGTGAAAGGGAAGGGAGGGGGGAATAGACCCACTGCCCCCTTCATGTCGTAAGAAGTGACTAATTGTGGGTTGTCTCCTTTGAAGTTGGGTGCCTTTGCTTGAGTGGCCAGGAACCAGCAGTCTGCTCACAAGCCTGATCTTTAAAATGGACGTGCACTCAATACTCAGTTCTAGAACAAGACTTGAACAAGACTAAACAGGACTAGAACAGGACTAGAACAAGACTAGAACAAGACTAGAACAGGACTAGAACAAGACTAGAACAGGACTAGAACAGACTAGAACAAGACTAGAACAAGACTAGACTAGAACAAGACTAGAACAAGACTAGAACAAGACTAGAACAAGACTAGAACAAGACTAGAACAAGACTAGAACAGGACTAGAACAGGACTAGAACAAGACTAGAACAGGACTAGACTAGAACAAGACTAGAACAAGACTAGAACAGGACTAGAACAGGACTAGAACAGGACTAGAACAGGACTAGAACAAGACTAGAACAGGACTAGACTAGAACAGGACTAGAACAGGACTAGAACAAGACTAGAACAAGACTAGAACAAGACTAGAACAGGACTAGAACAGGACTAGAACAAGACTAGAACAAGACTAGAACAAGACTAGAACAAGACTAGAACAAG